CGCACCCTATTTTTTTTGTGATCTTTCTTAGGTTGCATTGTGAACAGTGCATTGTAACCTCAACAGAACAGGACATCACACTCATTCACCGTGTAACCCTAGGATGGCTCGCTTTGGGAATTTAAATTTTAGGGCTTACTGAACTGGTCTGAGATTGGACTGTTGTCTGTCATTTTATGTTGTTACTGTGTGCTGTTTAGACAATTTGGTTAGGTTTAGGAAAAGGTCATCTTTTATTGACAGAAATTCTTTCTTTCTCCTTGTTTGTTCCTTTCACCAAGAGTCAAAGCAGTCGTTCCTCTTATGAGCTGGTTGTTAAATCATAAAGATATTCTGATATTGCATAATAATGTGTATTTTTTTATGTTTCAGGAAACCACAGGTTGCACACGAAAATCACCATTAAACTGCTGAATACAATCAACAAAAATGAATAAAGTACCAGCAGAATGTAACATGGGCAACAGCCTGACATGCTGGAAGTGTGATAAAGTCCTGCCTCCGTGCAAATCCTTTGCTGATTTGTATGTAACTAGTCTTCATGGGGAGCGCTTCTATGTGTTCAACGGAGGTGAATACTACAGACCATATGAACTCTTTATGCACGAGTGTAAATGTTGCTTTAATAAGCCAACCAGCGCTCAAGACAAAATGACTACAGTTCCAGTAGAAAGTAAAATGGGTGACCGCCTGAGATGCTGGAAGTGTGATAAAGTCCTGCCTCCGTGCACATCCTTCAATGATTTATATGTAGATACTGTTCGTGGGCGGCGCGTGTATGTGTTCAATAGAGGTGAATACTACAGACCAGTTGATCACTTTTTGTACGAGTGTAAATGTTGCTTTAAGTAGCAAATCAGGGATCAAGAGAAACAAATGACGTGCGAGGAGAAGAGATGAGGACAGAAGAGAGAAGAGGAGAGGAGGAGAGAGAGGAGGAGAGACAGAGGAGAGGAGAGAAGAGGGGAGAGAGGAGGAGAGACAGAGGAGAGGAGGAGAGACAGAGGAGAGGAGGAGAAGAGAAGAGGAGAGACAGAGGAGAGGAGGAGAGACAGCGGAGAGGAGAGATGAGGATAGAAGAGAGAAGAGGAGAGACAGCGGAGAGGAGAGATGAGGATAGAAGAGAGAAGAGGAGAGACAGCGGAGAGGAGGAGAGACAGAGGAGAGGAGAGATGAGGAGACCCAGAGGAGAGGAGGAGAGACAGAGGAGAGGAGGAGAGAGAGGAGGAGAGGAGAGAAGAGGAGAGACAGCGGAGAGGAGGAGAGACAGAGGAGAGGAGGAGAGACAGAGGAGAGGAGAGATGAGGAGAGACAGCGGAGAGGAGGAGAGACAGAGGAGAGGAGAGATGAGGAGACCCAGAGGAGGGGAGGAGAGACAGAGGAGAGAAGGAGAGAGAGGAGGAGAGACAGAGGAGAGGAGAGATGAGGAGAGACAGCGGAGAGGAGGAGAGACAGAGGAGAGGAGAGATGAGGAGACCCAGAGGAGGGGAGGAGAGACAGAGGAGAGGAGGAGAGAGAGGAGGAGAGACAGAGGAGAGGAGAGAAGAGGAGAGACAGCGGAGAGGAGAGATGAACTGTACAATTATTATTACACTACACTATAACACTTATATTCTGTGTGTTCTTTCATTATGTCCTGAATAACATGTAACCTCATGTCTGAAATATTTCATAAAGTGAGCTGAAAGCTACAGTGTCTTCCTCTCTTGTATTCTTCCACTGGGTGGTGCAGGTTACATGGTTTTACAAGTAAAATGGCAGAGAACTTGACCTCTAAGGCTGATCGCTACTCGATACCTTTAAGATATGGACTGAAACAGCTCAGTACTGAGTATCAAAACGTCTCCAGTCAAATGAGTACTGCAATTGATCCATTTTGGAACCAGATCTGGGGAGAAATGACTATTTGTGTGGTTTTGTTGCAGCCAAACGCCATAAGCAACACACCGAAAATAAAGAGAAGGGTATGCCTCTTTATGTGCCTGCACGCGCCGAGTCCATGTGTGATTTGAACAGCAGCTAAACATGTTCGCTCCAGGCTGCTGTGGTCTCTCACGTTCCTCACCTCAAGCTTGGCTTTCCGTTGGTTTCATCTTCTGGTATCACTTTTATTTGCGGTTCACATCACTTGTCACCGATCGATCACTTTCTACTTTCAACAAATGTATCAAACATTTCACTTAAATTCTTTTTCCACAACTCACTGTGGTCACTGAACTATTTCACTCCTCTCTCATTCAAATAAAAAACATCTCCCAAGCTGTCGCCCTTCCTCTGATGATGCTACCGTCTGGATGACCTGATCAGGATAAGGAGATCTGATACAATTTCCAAATATTTTTATGTAACAGATTTGAAAACAGAAAAGAAAATAGGTCACCTTGCTTGTCCAATAATAATACAATAATACCAAGTAGCTACTATTCAACAGGTGGCATTTTATGGAAGGGTTTGAATGAAGTACTCTACTGGTATCAGTATCACTTTAAAGCCTAGTTCACACTAGGATTTTAAGTACAATTTGCCAGTCAAAGAGCTCGGCGACCGTCAGGCTGGGATCAGGGCTAAATCAGCCATCGATTGGTCGGCCGCCAATTGTTGTGTGAACTACTCAACAAGGCATCGGAACGTCTCCCCGACACAGCACTGACACATCGCCGACACCAGCCAGATATCTAGCATGCCAAATATCTGGAGGAGTCGGCCGACTCAGCATCCACATGCAGCTGGCAGAGCACCTATTTCACCGCAAAACCCTTTTTACTACCAGCCCTACTCATAAGGCACATAGCTTTTTCCAAGTCACTGTCAGAATGATTGTAAAGGACATTAAGGCAGAAAGGAATACCACACACCCCACCTCATTCACACAACGGACATGGACACTTAACACCTCGCATTTACCTACAGGTTAACTGTAGTGTTTGTTTATTCATTTGTGCATAGTGTGTATAGATTTATGGTGCATGTTTGTTTGTATTTATCGTGTATTTACTATTTTTTGGGGGGATTTTTTAGATTGCCTTTCTTTGTTTGCTGACTCAGTGAGCTACGTACAAAATTTCCATTGTACTAACAAATCTAATCAAATATCTTCTCCCCTTCTCCAACTGTTCCTCCTTCTTTCCCCTGACCTTCTGTTAAGTTTTTTAACTTTATTTTTGGGAACTCACAAAGTGGTTCACAAAAAATTTAACATCCAGTCCCAAAATCTAGATTGGTACGGCAGAAAAGCTCAGTGCTGCAGTCTTCATCAGTGACACTCTGTGACTCCAGGGTCCCATCCCTTCCCCTTTCTACCCAGCCCCTCCCTTCAACCACGCTTCCTACTTCTCTCCCCTTGCCTTCTGATTCATCAATGTTTCTTCATAACTTTACACAGTATGACTGGTTTGATGGCACAGTAATCAGGGTTTGGTGGTGTCATGTCACTCTGACTGATTGACCCTTATTGCTCCTGGGCGGAGCTTTGGATCTTTTGCAGCATACTTTGCTAATATTGCGTAGTGACAATCATTGATTCTAACCACCTGACAATCATTTCAAACAACTGTCAGTTTAATGCAATTCACCGCCATGCAGGTACTCGTGTGAATGAACAACTTTCAACACATTTTCAAAATAAAACGTGCTTCTGCATGTACCGGGTCATTTCAAGTTGAGAGTTGGGAAAGTTTGAAAGTTGTTCTGAAAACACAAATTCTGGTCAATATTTCTAAAAGCAGGTTGGTGATTAACTGTCCTGGGTTGCAGCAGCAGCAGCACAGAGACCCAACGAACCCAGAGCTAGACAGCTGCTGACAGGCTGGACGTTAGTGATTTATCTGCCCTCTGCCACTCCGTTTACTGTAAAGGAGGACGTGGACTAACGGGAACTGTCATTCCGATCATGCATTAAAATAATATGATATGTTTTGTCCTCTGTTCAAGCAGCAGGTGGAACATCACTCCACATTACTCAGCATGCCAGTATTCAGAGTGAGCACCAGAGAAGAGAGAAGGTGTGCACTGGTTACAGCTTCAGGGCTCCTCAGCGACTACTGAACTGTCCCAAGCAATAATTTTGTTATTGAAATATAACTACGTTGTCAGTCAATGCATTTGCTACACAGACGTTAACAGTCAGGGCGGACACCTACCTACCTGGTTGATCCTGCCAGTAGCATGTGCTTGTCTCAAAGATTAAGCCATTTCTATGTAGACACAGCCGGTTCAGTGAAACTGTGGACATTCACAAATATATTTCCAATGAAAAATGCTAAGTTGACGTACAAATGATGAGCTACGAGTTGCAAATTAGAGATACAGATTTACAGATGCAAATCATTTATTTGTGCATATGTGTTTCAGTGTGTTATGTAACTTTAAATTGTTTGTGAATACTTCTGACAGCCCCCCCGCTATTCCCTTCATCCAATCAGCAGCTCAGCAACTAATCATCCGTGTCTAAGGGACATCCTGTAATATTTCCCCAAATCGTTTCTCTACATTACATAATTTCATATACTCACATCATTTCTCTGGGATTTCAAGCAGTTTCTCTTTTCTGCAGCTCCCTGCAGGTGCTCACGCCAATATCAAAGGTGTTTGTGTTGGGTTGGGGGGAAGCAGTGGCTCAGTACGTAAGGACTTGGTTGGAAACAGGAGGGTCGCCGGCTCGAGTCCAGCTCGGACCAAAAGATAGGGAGTGTTGACTGGTAGCTGGAGGTGCCAGTTTGAGCAACCACTCGGGGCGCCACAGCAAATGGCAACCCCTCGCTCTGACATCTCTCCATGTGTTGTTCCTATAGGTTTGTGCAAGTATATATTTCATATCTGTGTGTAAAATAATGAGAATGAACAACAGAGTGAAAAGATTGAGTTTCCCATTGTGGGACTAATAAGATATCTTCTTCTTAAAAAAGTAAAAAGCTTTGGGTGGTGGAAAAATCTCAACTCTTTTTCAACACTTTAATTCTTCAGTAAAATATACATAAAGTAATGAAGTCCAAAAATAAGTCTGAGTTTGTTGCTGCCAAAAGTCATTTATTCTTTTCCAAGATAAAGACAATGAGTTTCCACCAAACAGACCAAAATTATGCAACTAAAAACTGCAGGTTGCTGTGTCGCCCCTCCCCACGCAGCTCTGTTGCCTATATTTTTTAATGCAATCGCGTCTTTTGAACCAATTATTTATGTGTTTCTTTTTAACATTTTGATGCTTGCTTATTGCCGGATCTCCCTGTTTACTCTCCTTCCTTAGACCATTCTTCTGTCCTCAACTTTTCTCCTCTTCATTTGCTGGACCTTTTTTATCACCGTCCAAACCATCATTCATCCACTTCAATCGTTTTGTCGAGCCATCAATACTTTCTTTTTCTGCTAAACTCTGTCCCCCCCACTAACCTCAGACTGGCTGAAGGGGAAAGAGGGATTGTAGGCCCATGCTCCTGCAACCACAGCAACCACAGGCACCTAAGCTTTTCAATGTAGTAAGGAATATAAGAATATACAGGGTATTCATAACATGCCAATATAACAACAGATATATATGAGACAACAGTATCCTAACTTTAACTGTGTATATCTGGTTTCCAAAACATATTGGGATATAATTTGTAACACAAGTTACACACAACTCTACGTCTACATTAGTGAGTCGCTAGCTTGCTCCATTAATAATATATATATATACATATGGTTGTACATATGATACATATGGTTGATTATGTTTTTGTAGTTGTTGAGGCTAAAACAATCGGCACACTATGAGAAAATAATGACACGACAAAATATACTGAGGAAGAAATGGCGAGCACAAGAAGAGGAAAATAAAAAGATTAAATAAAGATAAAGAAAAAGAAAACTGCTCACAAGTCATCTGATATATGTGATCTTACATGATGATATTCTATGAAAATCAACACTTTATCAGTTGCTCTGGATGAGAGCACAGATTTAAAAGGTCAGCTAAGCAACAGCTTTCTTTATTTTGATGTGATGATGTCACAGTGACTTTAATTCTGTTCAGTAAAGGAAACCAAACCTCCTCTCCATCTCTTCTCCTCTCGTCCTCTCTCTCTCCTCTTCTCTTCTCCTCCTCTCAGCTCATTTACTCTCAAAGCATTTTGCACACTCGTGCATAAAGACTTCATATGGTCTGTAGTATTCACCTCCATTGAACACATACACTCGCTGCTCATTAAGAGTAGTTACATATAAATCACTGAAGGATTTGCACGGAGGCAGGACTTTATCACACTTGCAGCATCTCAGGCGGTCACCCATATTACATTCTGCTGGTAACCCGGTCTCCTCCTCTCTCCTCCTCTTGATCCCTGATTGGCTTATTAAAGCAGGATGCACACTCGTACATATTATCAGCGCCAACCGGTCTGTAGTATATACCATGAACAGTACTTTTGTGGAAATCATCGAAGGATTTGCACGGAGGCAGGACTATATCACACTTGCAGCATCTCAGGTTTTCGCCCATGTTACTTTCTGACGGTACGTTCCCCATTTTTAACGTGTTTTTCAGCAATTAAGTGGTGATTTTCGTGTCCAACCTGTGGTTTCCTGAAAGATAAAAAAGACAAATATCTGAATGACTTTATGATACAACAACTAACTCACTCATAACAGGAACTCCTGCTGCTTTGACTCTTGGTGAAAAGGAAAAACAAGACAACATTTACTGTCTGTATTAGAACAATGTCAGAAATCAACCAACGTCCTCGCCAACCCATTCATGGTCCAGACCCCTTGGAGTCAGTTTTTAATGCTTCAGAGAGAGAGTTCAGCGGACTGGGGGAAGCCCTGTAGCATCATAACCAAACTGCAAAGTTTCCCAACGTTAAGCACTAGTACTCTTTGAAAGTCTAACCGGGCGCCCTACACGTGCAAAAACAACTCTACACTTCAAACTAATCAATACATGGATCAATAGTGCTTTGTTGCTGGACAGAGAAGATGCTACTTGTTCTCATTGGTCAGGTAGAATGAGAGCAGTAAGCTGCCATCAGCTGATCCACTTCTAGCATCAGTCCACTAGATGGCCTCGTGGAGCCGATGGAGGATGTTACTGCTCTGCTATATGGAGATCTAAACTGAATGGCACTTTGTGAGGCAGCCATGTTTCATCTGGACATTTGGATGATTCAAGAACACAGTTTGTGTGAAACCAGATAAGCTGCAGATATCAGTGGGAGTTGTTATAGTTACTAACTGACCACAGTGAAGAGTCATCAGTTTAACTATATACCTCCTCTCTGCTCCTCTTTTCCTTCTCCTCCTCTCAAACCTGCAGCTGACAGAAAACAGACCTGAAACTTTCCTGCGTTCCTAAACTGATGACAAGAAGTTAACAAACGTTTTCTTAAAGTAAAGAGACCGGCTTGGTTTGTTGGCACAACTTCAGTTCTGACTTTAATTTTTGTTTTTACAATGAAGGACGACTCAAAGCCCACGAGGAAACATGGCGTCAAACTGCATTTTACTGTTAAGTAAAGATATCAGGGCTCCTCTTACTTAGGGGCCCCGGAAAGTTAAACAACCTCACATTCCTTCGTCACTCTGTTGTTGTTGAACTCAAACCTTCATTTAATATGAAAAGTTTTCAAACGAGTAAAAAGTCAGACTCACACCCCTGTTCCTGTGAATGTTTCAGGTCAGCAGCTCGCTTGTGTCTCCTCCAAGTCTGTCTGTAAACACAGAGACCTGCTCCTTTATATTAAGGTGACTCCACCCATAGAGTCCGTGGGCCGGACCAGATATCAGTGAGCAAAACCTTCCTCGTGCTCTCTATCAGAGAAGGGGGTGGGGATTTACAGTAAAGGCTGACTCAGAGCAGGGGGTGAAGGTTGTCTCCACTTACAAAGGGAATGAATGATTCAATCTGACAATCTTTTACATCTGTCTGTCAAAATACAGATTTCTGGTCTGGGTGTCGGGTGTTCTGCAGTAAAGTGAGTCGCTGCTTGTTGCTGTTAATAAAGAGCTTGTTCAAAAGAAGATGATTATTATGATCTGTACAGCATTGTTATTACCTTTTGTAAAGTAAAATAAAAGTGCAATTGAGTCAATTTTCTGTTAAATAAATGCTGGACTGGCAGGACAAAGCAGAACGCCACTCCTTCGTCCAGCACCAGAAATGTCTTTCTAGTTGATTAAAATCTCCTGACAAGCCGACAGAGGATAGGTCATGATCTAAGGTTAATACATGTTCATCTACACATCCAAAAGGTTTCACACACAGTCCACGTTTATACAGTGAAACTGTTCAGAGTAAAGCAGCCATCCTGATCAATTCTGAGCTCCAGCGGAGCATCTAAGTTATCTCTGAAGCTAACAGTTGAAATCTGTTTCTCTGGAGAGTTTCCTTTTTCCTGTCATGTCACATTTATAACTACAGTTTTTTTCTCTTGCATACTTAAATGCCCCACGATATTTGTTGAGTTTATTGAGCACATTAAAACGTTTAAACGTTCTGAAAGCAGCCTCTCTAATCACGAAAGCACATTGTTAAAGTAAACATTCATACAGCAACAAAACACAAAATAAAGAAACCACTGTAGGGGAGAGATGTGACCCACGACCGGTTCGTCACTGTTAATAATAATGCAGCGCACTGAGGATCCAGACGTTTCATAGAGGAGACAGCGTCTGTCAGTATGTTCACTGTTATCAGTTCAGACATTCACTGCTAAACCACGGAGCTGCACAGGAACACTAGGCTTCATGATCAGAGACGGGTTTTAAATCACGGCCACACTTGTGTCCGTATCCTCCTCTCTGCTGTGAGTCTGCAATTCAATCAATCAATCGATGGTTTTAAAGACGTGCTCTTCATGCGTCATTATAATAGCAGTGCACTATGGTACAAGTGCAATTTTTTTTGCATGTTGCGTTTAACACACCCATGACTACAAGTAAGTAAGTACAACCCTTTTGGACCATGTGCCTAACACACTGACCATTATTTTTGTATTTAAACTACCAACATTGGACATGGACACCTTCCAAACGCAACTGCGCCTGTCATGATCCTGTCCTGAGCTTGTCTGTGTTATATTATTTTGGCCATGCCTTCTCGGTGTTTTGATTTTGGTTTCTCTGTGTCTGGGTTTCAGTCCTGTCTTTGACCTGTGTCCAGTATCTGTTATATAGTTAGTCTGTGTTTTGGGGTTCAGTCATGTCTTGTGTCTAGTTTACTCTGTGTGTTTGTGCTGGTCGGTCCGGTACTGTCTGGTTGTGCGGTTATGATCTCTTTAGTTCATTATGTCTATGAAGATTCTCAGTCATCCAGGTCATAGTTATCCAACGAAGGTTAAAATCAAGGGCAACTGGACTTGTTTGAAGATACTGGAAGACGTTTCGTCCCTCATCCAAAGGACTTCTTCATTTCACTTCTTCTTCTTTAGTTCATTATGATTTTTATCTTTCTGCTTTAGCCTCCGTGTAGCCTTGTTTATCTTTTTGTTCATCCGCATCTTTTAGTTTACTTAATATCTGTCTTGTATCTTAGGTTTAACTCTGTCTTAGCTCCTCGTTCTGTGTCTCAGTTCATGTCTTAGTGTTTTCTCCGGGTCTGTGTGTGAGTTCTGTCTTATCCCAGCGTCAGTCTGTTTTCCCTGTTGGTGTTAGTTTTGTTGTGATCTGTCTGCTTGCGTCTCAGTTAGTTAGTTTGTTATTTCTGATCTGTTACATCTTGTGTTATGGCCTTTGTTTAGTGTTCAGTAACTTGTGTTGTGTCTGTTATCCCAGTAATCCCTCTGCACGTCAGTCTCTCTGTTTTCCCCTTTGCCATCTCTGTCTGCCTCGTTAGCCTCATGTCCCTCACCTGTGTTGTTCCCGCCCTGCTCGTTAGTCTGTGTGTGTGTGTGTGTGTGTGTGTGTGTGTGTGTGTGTGTGTGTGTGTGTATTTACCTGGTGTTTCTGTTTAGTCCTTGTCCGGTCATTCCAGTGTTCTGTTGTGTTTTGTTGTGTGAAGAAGCTCTGTCTGTTTTTTGGATATCTGCCTGAAACCTGGTCTGCCAGTATTGTGGCTTTCTGTTTGGATAACCTTATTTTGGACTCTGTTTATCAGCCACTCTGCCTGTAAGTGCGCTCACCTTTTGTTGTCAAATAAATCTTTGAACTATACCTGCCAGCTGTGTGTCCTGCATTTGGGTCCTCCGACCTACCTTCTCCACACCACACCAGTGACTGCACCATATGCTTCACTTCATGCACTAAGATCGTTAAAATGCACACTGTTGCACACACAGTTATTTCTTACTGTAAATACCTATTTGGTCCATGACAGGACCTCATTTCAGTGGATCACACAGAAACGTTCATTAAAAGATGTATTCATATAATTGTCTTTATTGTTAATTACACATGCCTAACCAACCTCAAGCTAAATTTATAGGCATTTCGAAACATTGTGATTTATTGTGTGAATATTCAGCACAGTAATCGACTATCAATCAACTCTCTATAGTCGTTAGTTGCAGCTCTAGACCCAAGCAGAGTTGTATGTCAGATTAGGGCACACTACCAGCAGAGCACTAAAGTAATGCACAGCAGAGTACAGGGCAGGCAGACATCATATTATGAATTCCCATTAAATTATGACGTATAACTTTTTCCCAGACATGCCAGAAACCACAGGAGCTATTAAAGTCCAGGAGTTTCTAACTGAATAAAAAGAATAAATTTATCATTGAGGTGAAAAGTGGCCACATGCACATTGAAAGAGGTTAATTCTACAGACAGACACAAACAAGAGGGAAGACTAAACCGTGCCTGCATGTGTGCTGACTCAGAAGGGATGATATTACATATCTGAAAGCAACACAGAATGTCTGAGAGCATCACTGCAATATATGTACTTTATTATGAATTGTCACCTGCCAGCTGAATTGTGTCTCCATTTATATTGATTAAGTTTAATAAGACCCACAAGGAGAAACCTGCATAATGGCCAAGAGCTTCTTTGAAATTATTCATGGCAGTATTAGAGCTAAGGGTGGGTGGTGGTGGTGGTGTCGAAGTGGGTGTCAATGAGGGGCCCAATATGGAAAATGTTTGTCCGCCTGTCCATTAATTCCTAACAGTGGACCTGGTGCAGACTATTCAGTTTCTCTTCTGTATCGGCTTTGAAGCTCCAGCACATTTCATTTAATAGAAGAAGAAAAGAGTCACCCTTAAATTCATGTTCATTTTACCAAGAACAGTGCCCCACTGGAACTTGTGTGAAGTGGTTTCTGGTCAGCCAAGCAGCAACAACAAGTCCTTGTGATTGTCAATCACTCCAAAAAGATGCCACACTTGGAGAGAAATCTCTCTCCCCAAAATCAAGCCGAAGGGTTTTTACCAGAAACAATGTCCAGAGCCCCAAACATTCTCAGTGTGAGATGATGTCCTCTCTGAGTTAGAGGCTTCAGGTAACGCTGAAACTCAACTTAAATGTGTCTCCGTCATGACTGTCACCTGCATTTATTTAATGCATAATTTTTAATAACTCATTTAGTAAATCATTAAGTGGCACTGTTCACTGTTCTGTGCTGATGATTGCGTGTTAGCAGCGAAACTGAAATAGGGGTTTCCACTTCCCTTCAAAGGTAATTTTCTCAAACCCTGAGTCAGAAATCTCCACTTCAGTAACACCTATACCTTACATACGCCAACCTTTCCAGTTTAACTCTATCTATATCGTGACAGTTTGAAGGTGTGATTTTATCAAAGGATGCAGTTTGGACTGGTCTAAAGGCACAAACAAAGTCAGTTCCAGAGAAACCACAGTCCACGTCAGAGAAACAGGAGCACACCCAGCTATCAAGGGCATAGTTTAGTGTCAACACTGGTTGGGACATCTTCCATCTTCCCTTACCCCGAACTGCCGCCGCTATTCACGGCAGTTCTAATCAGTGCTTGTGCTGACACCTGAAGCGTTGCAGCGCGGCCCAGAAGCGGCTCTCCGTTCCACAGAGAATAGGCAGCAAGTCTATTTGTGACAGAAGCTGCGTCAGGCAGCACAGAGCAGATGAACCGGGAAGGAAATCTGCCACAGAAACGGCACAGAGAATCTGGTCGAGTTTCAAAATAAAACATTCTGTGCAGACTCCCGATCTTATATAGTTTACATTTACTCATTTAGCAGATGCTTTTATCCAAAGCGACTTACATTTGAGGAGCAGCATACAAGCATCAATAAGATCTACAACTGACAATACATACTTGTAAGTGGAGCAATAAATACTAGTTAGAGCTAATAGCACGTATGGCACCAATGGGTAAATACCTAGGGAAGTAAGAGTTAACAAAAAAAGTGCAATCAATACAAGAGAATTGTAAGAGGATAGAAGAAGAAGGGCACAGGAAGTGCATGTTAGAGGTGTTTTTGAAGTTAGAGAGGGACGCCCCTGTTCTGATGGCGTGTGGTAGCTCGTTCCACCATCGTGGTGTCACAGATGAGAACAGGGACTGAGATTGCTTTGTGTGGAGCGTAGTGGCAGAGAAGGAACGTAAACTTGTATTATGGAGTTTAGGTAGATGGTGCAGACCCAGTAGAGGCTCTGTATGCAGCATTAGGGACTTGAATTTGATTCGGGAGGCCACGGGGAGCCAGGGGGAGGTCACTGAGTAACGGAGGGACATGAGTCCTTTTGGGCTGATCAAAAACCAGACGCGCTGCAGCGTTCTGAACCATTTGTAGGGGTTTTACCGCACAGCTAGAAGACCTCCCAGGAGGGCGAGAGATAACCGTGGCCTGTACCAGAAGCTGGGTGGCGTGCTGGGTGAGGTAGGGCCTGATTTTCCTTATGATGTATAGAGCAAAGCGGCACGACCGAGAGACAGCAGCAACATGGTCTGAAAAGGACAGCTGGTCATCAATCATGACACCCAAGTTTCTCACCACCCTGGTTGGAGTGATGGTTGAGGAGTCAGTTTGTAGTTTGATGTTATGGTGGATAGATTGCTTGGCTGGAATGACCAATAATATCAACAATAACTACATTTAAAACATATGTAGCCTACTTAACCATGGTGGAAGCACAAAAATCAAAGACAGCTGACCAAATCAACAAAATCTGAACATGTCGGCAAAATCAGGCAGGCAAAACGATCTTATTCTGAAATGCTCCATGTGGGACATGAAGCCCTGCAGAGAACGTAACAAAACCGTTTTACAGCGAGCTGTGATCTGTAGTATTAAGCAAAATAACGGACAAATAAACAACTACTCAACAACGTGGGGCAGGCTAAATGCTTCGCTGCTGAAACGCTTCTAAAGAGCTTGCAGTGTGAGTTGATGCCGGGCAGAGGACTGAACAAAACCACGGTGCAGCTGTAATGCGGTGCACACACCACCTGTTCTGAAGGCAATAAGTCATAGAAGTCATATTCAGTCTGACTTCAGTAAAAGCCACATTACCTCTAAAGAAAACAGCTCACTGATCATTGTATGTATAGATGTGCTGTAGGTCTGTCTGACTGTCTAGTAGCAGAAGTAATAATTGTACTAGTTAATAGTTAGGGTTAGTCATTTACAGATTATGAGATAATGATGACATGAAACAATAAATAGAAAAAATACAACACCAGACAAATACAACATACAGTTCTCGTGCCAGATTTAAAGCCACGGAATAAAAATGTGTTTTAAGTCGTGATTTAAAAACCGGAAGGCTTGTCTGACACGGAGAGGCAATTCATTCCACAGTCTCGGGGCTGCGACTGAGAAAGCTCGATCCCCCCTGATCTTGAGCCGTGTTTTCAGGAAAACAAGAAGAGACTGGTTTGCAGACCTTAATGACCTTGAAGGAGCATCTGGCCAGTTGTAGTCGAGAGAGGGAGGCCTGGCTAACACTTTTACAATAGTCATGGCGTGTTGTGATGAATGCATGTATGACCCTCTCAAAGTCTGTGAGGGATCAAGGGATCAAAATTACAATCCATTTTTACTCCAAGGTTTGTTACAACAGACTCAACATAAGGTTGCAGAGTGCCCAGGTCTATTTGTGAGACATCAGAGGTGCCACTGGGTCTAAAAACCATGACCTCGGTTTTACTACTTTTTACTACTTTTTCCTAGTGATGCATTTAAACATTTATCAGTAAGAACCGATGGGCTGAATGCCACATACAAGATAAGGAAGTAACTGTCTTGACATTAAGAAAAATGTAAAATTACACTAGCCATAAGCCTTTAATTCTGTGTTTAAAACGATGTTTTAAAAGGTGCCATATAAAGTTTATCAGAGGGGAGAGTAATATGAGATTTGAAGGAGTGAGCAGTTGTTTTCCATAAATGTTATATTACAGTGATCTGCTGGAAAGCCCTGAATTAGTGAACTTTGTCTGACACAACAGTGTTAAACAGTCGCACAACAGGTGGAGATTCACAAATATATTCCCATTGAAAAATACTAAAGTGACGTCCAAATGATGATCTACGAGTTGTAAATCAGAGGACCAGACACAGATTTACTGATGCATTTGTGCACAGTGTTTTACAGCTCAGTAAAAACACTTTGGAGACAGTTTTAACTCTTTAGCTCAGCTCCTGTCTTCTTCTAGGAGTGTACGCTACAACAGCAGTATGTATGTATTAATCTATATATCTAACTCTTAAAATATATTGTTATAGCGGCCTAGGGGAAACTGGAGTGCAGCAGTGTCTCCCCCCTTTTCCCACTCCCAGCAATAATCAATGCCACCGGTTATGAAGTCAAAACAAAAGCAACTCATACCCTTCACTACTAGCTGCCCTAACAAAGAATACAAAAGAATACAGGAGGAAACAGGATTAAACTAAACCGGCTGCTCCCCCCTACAGGTTTCAAGGACTGCACTTTTTTACTTTGTCTTATCATGTAACTCTGGTTTCTGTATTGTCTTAATTACCAACAGGTCCTGACTCTGGCTGCTTCTCAAGTCTCTTAATTGCATCCACGTTTCCCTCACTTGCATCTTTTCCTTGCGTCTTAAGTGCAATTTATACTTCTGCGTAGCCTCAGCGTAGGCTACGTGGCCACGCGGAGGCTACGTGGCCACGCGGAGGCTACGCAGTCGCCTGACGTGCACCTCTTCAAAAATGTAACGACACGTCAAGTCGATACGGACCGTCAGCTCTGTGATTGGTTGGTTGGGTAGCCTCGCAATACCTCTGAGCTGACCAGAAGTACCCCGTGCATTGAAGTAACTTTTACTAGCGGCTAAAACGGCTTCTGTAACACAGTGAATCAATATATTTGACCATTGCAACCCGAGCAAAATGACTCAGAATCAGAATGTGATCCATTCGCTCGGTAACATTTGAAAAGGCTACACCAGCCGCACGTTTACAGTTTTACCCATTTATATTAGCGGAGGGCTAAACCGGAAGTTAACCTGCTCGGATGGCAAAAGTCAACACAGTGGATGCTGTAGCGCTATTGTTGACTAGCGTGTGGGGGTGTAATTGCAGAATGACAGACACACCTACGCACAAGTATAAATGCATGGCTACTTGCGTAGCCTACGGCGTAGGTACGCACGTAGACCCTATGAAGGAGTATAAATGGGCCTTTAGCCCCGCCCACCGGGGATTCTTGGAGAGACGCAAAGGAAACCAAGCCCGGAGAGAGGGGACGAGGAAACATGTTTTTAGAGACATGAGACGTCCTTTCCTCTGAAGCGTCACATGAAGTGACGTCATTTCTGATGACGGCGGCTGCTCTAACAGCTGCAGAGACTTGATGGAGTTTGTGTCTGCACGTGATGTAACTCTAAGTCGATGCTCAGTTTTAGGCTTTCAGTTTATTTCCTCTTCTGATATCTTTAACACTAGCCTACTGCATGGCTACATTAAATTTATGCTGGTCACATCACTCGTCACTGATTCATCACTGCGTATTTTTTTAGCACATCGGCTTTCATTCACACTTTCATCAGCTGTCAATATAACGGCTACCCAATAAGAGGGTGTGTCATCTGCGAAGGATGCACTGGTGAATCCTCGCTCCTTGCTCCTCAGAGATCGCTCCTCCGCAATCACACTCACATCCAAACCTATGACTCTGGGTGCCGACCCCTTTTGGGGCTCTACTGTGTAACTTTCCTGTACATTCATTGAACACCTGAGGGTCCCGATGTGGGCCGATTACTTCAGCCTTGCAGTAGTGCAGCACCTCGCTCTCTTCTTTCCCCGTCAGCAGAGGCGTCCCCCTTCAGGGAAGTGGCTCCGTTGTTTTATTTCTACACTTCAACACCTCTACATCCACCATACTTTCCCTCACTCACACCCATCACTACTGACTTGACTGATTTTCACACGACATGCTTTGTTTTACGTTCTATTTAGATTTATTGCTCATCCTTTGTTAAAAATAAATGACTTTGTTATACGTTCAACATGGTGTGTCTCCGTATTTGTCACGGTCCAAGAGCCAGATCTTGACAGTCACAACATATTTCAAGTCAAGCTCTCTGCCATTTTATTTTTTTTACAGTTCACTGTTACTGTGTAAAAACACGTCCCAAAGTCTTAACCCCAAACGAAGCAGCTGAACTGAGTATTCTGGATATTTACTGCAGTGAATACAGTTCCTGTTCAGCCCCCAGAGTAACCAGCACCACCCAGTGGAAGAATACAACAGAGGAAGACACTGTAGCTTTCAGCTCACTTTATGAAGACAGAAATATTTCAGACATGAGGTTACATGTTATTCAGGCCGTGATTAAAGAGCACTGTGCAAAGTAACACACAGATTATATGACAAAGTGTATAGTTCATTCACAAAAGCTGTAGCATTTGTAGTTACATTGAATCCCTGAATCAATCAAACATTTGACAGCATCTGTAAGACAAAGCATGAGCTGCTGTAGACACAGAGCAGGGGCTCAGAGACAAACAGGATTTAGGAAAATGAGAACTGGATGCAACCTGGTGGATCTGAAGGTAGCAAGATCACTTTATGGTGGAAGAATTCACCAAGTGAACGGATCTTTGTTAAGAGCATTCCTGCCATCCAAACTGTGTCTGGGATTTGATCAGCTCTGTTTCACCCTCTCTGAGCCCCGCCTCTATTCTCTTCATCCAATCAGCAGCTCAGCAACTAATCATCCATGTCTGAGACACATCTCAAGCTTTATCCTCTAATATTTCCCACAATCATTTCCATGCAATACATCATTTCCTATTTTACATAATTTCCCAGCATTATTCCCAGTTACGTACAATTTCTAACTTTTTCTCTGCAGCTTCTGTGATTTCAAGCAGTTTCTGTTTCTATGCAGCTCCCTGCAGGTGCTCCAATAGAAAATATGTTTGCTTGTATAATAGAACACATATGTTGAATTTTGGCAATAGTTCGCTAGTTTGCTCCTTTAATTGATACATATGGAAGAAATGGCGAGCGCAGAAAGAGGAAAATAAAAAAGATTCACCAGAACTGATCACAACTATTCTGTTATCTGATATATGTGATCTTAAATGGTATCCTGAGGTGATATTTTATAAAAATCAACACTGTTCTTTATCAATTGCTCTGGATGACAGCATCAATTTAAAAGGTATGTCTGACAGTAAAAGTGTCTCCAATTAATGGATGCTGTGAGGATACAGTCCTGCACATGAAGAAGATATTTCTTAATAAAAAACAATGAAATTAATGAAGCATTACAGCAAACGTGAAAAATATGTATGGATTAAAAAAATACAGTGCATCAAATTGATTTGAAATTGATAATCAAAGCACACATGGATAGGTTATGTTGGAAGTGATTATAGTTAAAATTATATTTATAATACAATAATAATAAATTGACATTAAAGAAACATCTGTAAATCTGAAATCCTACCTGTTCTGACCTAAGACAGCGTTTAGGACTTTTCCCATTACAGGCCAAGGTTTTCTAACTTTATATTGTTTTACCTATAGTCAGGATTCAGATATTACTGAAGCATCCAAGACGCTAAAATCCCGAATATGTGAGTCCTCACTAATAAACAGCACAGATCTTTCTCAAATTTAAAATCTACATTAGTCTGCTATGGCTACTCAACTGTATCTATACAGTAATTAGTAGTGATGTTCTCCACTGACAATGTTCTAGTGACAAATCATTAGTTATAGCATTAGATTGTTTAAACATGAATGATGTCTGATTTAAATTTAAAAGTGTGTTTCTATTGTAACCAATTACCATTGCTCCTATGCAATTATGTCTTTTATGAAAAATATGAAATATGTTTTATTTCCATTAAAAAATTCAAAGGGGTGTAAAGTAGAATAAACTTTGGACTACTACTCTGTAATGGCAAATTTGGAATTTTCCCATCTTTCACTTTTGAGATAGGACAGGACAGTTAGGATTGTTTCTGTAATGAGCCCCCTGGATAGAAAATTTAGTTATTTTAAATCAAACCAAAGGGAAAAGTAATCATCATCTCCAGAGAGGTCTCTTGATAATGAACCTGGAAGTGGAAGATCTGCGTAGCTTTCATTGTGCTGGCTGATCAGTCACATTGTCAGGTGTCGATACACTGTAAAGAAAACACAAATCCACCCTGGTCAACTGCTCACCATAATGCAAAGTATACAATGTACATACTTTTCCATAGCCTGCAACCACAGCCTACGCCATGTACCTCCCACCCCTTTATTAACTATTCTAATACCATAAATACTCCTAAATTAAATGCTGTATATGTGCTTTATTTTACAATCATATTAAACATAATGCTAACTTTAAAAGATCGAAGGTCGGAAACTTGGTTCCTGTGTGGATCCTTTTGATTATTGTAGCTCTATATGTTGATTAACATCAGTATTTGATGATCCCCTTGCCCTGAACCACTTTGAACAATTTTCATCTTTCAAGAAAACATGGTTTTACCCTTCTGGCTGTTCTGAATGCTGTTGGTTCAATGAATGAATGATGTCATGAAAACTGGATACAGTCTGTCTATGGTTTATAACCAGTGGAGATGAGTATGTTGTCGCAGCCGTAACTGTAGCTAATTTGGTATTCTGATTCCAATAATTTGCTTCCAAAAACTACTCTTTACCAAAAACACAACATAGTAGCTTTTTGTTATGAATAGAAATGTGATATCTGACATTTTAGAAATGATCTTACCTTTGAAGGGTGCTGATGACTTGGTTCCTGAAGGGATCATTTTGATCTTCATATTTTTTAGCATTGATCCAGTCCTCCATTTCTTTTTTAATCTCTGGTTTCATGAGATCTGTTTTGTGTCCCAGGAGGTTGAACCATTTATCCACTAATGCTTTAGAATGTTCTGGAAAACTGTCCTGGAAAACCTTCAGCCTGGTGGGACTCATTTTCTTTTGGTCAAAATTGTTGTACTTCTTGGAGCTGTCTAGCATACTTCTGGGCATTGCACCAAGGATGGTCAGTTTGAAGGTGGCCGCAACATCATCCTTGCTTATGGTTTCAGCCAGTAAGTCCCTGAATCTTTGAGATTTTGTACTGGGGAACTCACGATGCACCTCTTCTGGCACATAAACAATTGGAAGCCCAAGCCCATGAGTGTTGTATACGTCCTCTATAAGCTTTTTATCCAGAGGAGAAGAGGATGTTGCCACCTCAAGCATAGCTGTAGCTAATTTACTATTCTGGTTCAATTCATTTGCTTTCAGTATACTGTTTACTGGTGGTTGGTGATCTCCGTTGATGAACTTTCCAATTCCTTTTCTGTCCTTTGAATCCTGCTGCCACTCTTCGTACAGTTTCACGTTCCCAGTTTCTTGCTCAAGAGCTTCCTCAGTTTCTTTCATGAGTTTGATTTTTTTCTTTGGTGGTGCAGCTCCCTCTGCCATGTACCAGTCCCCTCCTCTGATTGCTTCAGTCCACTCTTTGCGCTTGATGAAAGGCTCCCATTGGCCTGGATGTCTGAGGAGAGTGTCGGCCTCCACAGATCGGAGGCGTTCTGCTTCTAAAGCGATCTCTTCTTCACTGGCCTCTGGTTTCATGCCTCGTGCCAAAGCGTGAAACAGGCAGCTCTTGCTCTCGCTGTCTATGTTTACTGTCTGGTTATTGATGCGCACGTCATAATGGCCGTCTGGGTGTTGGGCACTCTTTGGTCTGTAGATCAGTGTCACAGTTTGACTGGTGGCTTTAGCTCCTGGGTTCAGCTCCTGCATCTTGGTAAGTCTGCCATGGCTGTCCTCTGTTAGAATAACAACCTTAGTCCCAGTGGCTTCTGACAGGACTCTGATATCGAGAATGGTGCCTGCAGTCACAGGGTTCCTGATCTTTTCAGCATGTGACTCTGAGCGTTTACCTGCCTCTCCTGCAGATTTATGTTTAGCATTCGGGTCTCCTGGCATGTATGAGATGTATCTGTTGTTCTGTCCAGCTTTGAGTTTTTCCTCTGTTCTGTCACTCTTTAAGCCAGTTCTTACATAACGGCCAATGACGCCATTTACTTGGCCTTGAACACGAGAAACAATGTGACTGGAGAACTTCTGGTGGAACACTTCTACCAAAGCATCAGCCAATAAAGCACTGATGGTGTCGGCCAAGTCCTGCTTGAATTCTTTCAGCATCTCAGCATCAGAAGCAGAAAGCTCATTTACCTTCACTTTCTCTGACGAACCTTTTTCTTTTTTAAATATATTCAGCTGTTCATGGAGGTTTGAGAAAAACTTACTGGAGAGGCTGTGCACTGCGCTAATGGCGTCTACTGCCAGTACTCCTATGTGGACAGCTTGGATGGCCATCAGAATTCCACGTGCTTTTCCTTTGGCCTCTTCTTTAGCTTTGTTAATCACTTTGGAGAAGGATGAATTGAGCTTGTTCTGCCAGCTGAGGTCTGCATAGAACGGCTGTGCGGCAGTATTTGTCAACTCTTTGAAAATGGCCAGCAGCTCACTCTTTCTGTTCTTGTCCTGCAGGAGATCATGAAGCTGCTTTTTATCCTCAAGGTGTGAGAGGACGATGGAGTCTACTAATGAAGCCAAGGGCTCTTTTTCCATGTTGGATTTCACATCTTCAACAATTCCGTTTTTCACCTCATTTTTGATGCTGTTCAGTATTTCTTTCAGTATTTGCTCTTCCGCCTTCCCAAGTCCATAGGTAATGATTTCCTCTACCATTTTTTTAGCAGTGACTTTTACTGCATTCTTCATATTTGTCTTTGTGACAACACTTAAACCTTCTTTAGCCTGTCTGGAGAGAAACTTTGGCATCGCCTTCAGCTGTTTCGCGATTCCCTTAATCAACATTTTAGATGCTTTGTAGCCCTTTGAAATCAGCTTTCCAACTCCAAACCCAATGAGAGATACACCTATAGAAATGGCTTTTTCTATAGCCCATGATGTCCAGCTGAATTCTCCAGTCACCATGGCCTCTATGCCAGTGATGCAGTCTGATATTCCTTCAACTATGAGTCCCATGCCGACTTGAGCTAATGTCCCAAATGTAAATGCAGTGAGCAGTGCTCCTCCAATAATCTGTAAAATTCCAAGACAGAACACCAGCAGACCTTCCCATGGGAAACGAGGCTCCTCTTCCACAGAAAATACATATTTCAGACCTTGACTGTAGAGGTTGTAGGCTTCCACTTGGAGCTCTTCATCAGCAGTCGACACCAGGGAGAACATTGGGGATTTTTTGACTATTGCATCCCTCCCTCTTTCTTTGATCTCATCCAGCTTCTTGATGGCCTCAGTAATGTTTTTATCAAAGTAACTCAACATGCTGCACTTGGTTGTTAACTGTTTTTCAAGGCTGGTTTGGTTACTGTTGGCTGAGTGTGCAGAGGACATTTTTACAAACTGCAGACAGACCACGGATTGTTCACTGACATACTTCAGAGACTCCTGAGCCTTCTTTAGATCATCTCTGGCCTTAGTCAGGTAATCTGCTTTCTGCTGCTTTATAGTGCAGTATGCATGACTGTAAAAAGCTATGGCTGCCCAGCTTTCATCTTGATTCATGGCTTTTTCAAATAGCCTGGCGCTGACGTCCCATTGTTTTTCGCTCAGCGCGACATTTCCAAACGTGATGTAGTGATAAATGCTAGAACACGGTGAAGTCTGACTTTGAGACTGACTTTGTGCCAATGACAAATCAGCTTTCAAACTAGTTTGCAATTCATTTCTCTTCAACTGGTCAATTTCCTCTGATTTTGTTTGCAACCATATCCCCCAGAACTCATTCATGATGGCAACAACAGCTCTTTCCTCTTCTCCATCTGTCTTCTTATAAACATCTTCAAGAGTTTTGCAGTACTCTGAAAACAGGTCCTCTCGCAGTTTCAACTCAGTGACATCATTCATTATGTGATTTATCTTTTCTGCTGCAAGTCTATCTCTTGTGCTCTTAGCTTCCTCCAGAGAAGACACCGTCCTGAAAGACTGGTGTTCAGTGGACGCGATTATCTGAGCAGATCCAGGTTTCCCTTTACGAGCAGTTCGACCAAAAGCCTGGAGTTCCACTCTTGTGTTCTCAGAGAGGAAGGAGAGGATCACAAATAGTCCTCCATTGTTGTTCACCTGTTTGGACACTTTTATGTCTGTGCCACGCCCGGCAAGGTTTGTGGCAACAATTACATCACCAGGTAGCAGTTCCTTTTCTATTTTGCTCAAACTGTCTTTGTCGCTGCGGCAGTAGAGAATGATCTCACCTGGGATGCTGCTTTTCAGCTCTTCGTAGATCTCTTTGGCTTTGTTGATAGTTTCACAGATCACCAGGGCTGCTCTTCCATCTCTGTATGAATTTGGAGAAATCTGAGCCATAACCACACGTTTTATTTCAGATTTCCACTCTTCAGCTGAGGTCTTCAGAGTACCTTTGACCTCAAATAACTTCTTCCGGTCGAATGTTGGCATTTTGCAGGCAGACAGATTTGGATATAGCTCCTGCAAAAACAGAATGTCTGCTTTGCTCCCAAGTGTCCCTGTTGTTCCATATATTTTCCCATGGTACTTTTCAAAAAAGGAGATGTTAGACACGTAGTTTGTCACTGTTGAAATTGTGCTCAGTTTGATTTGGTGTTTAATCTCAACAAACTGCTGCAGACCATCCCCCCATTTCTTATTCAGTTCTATTATACCAGTTGACCTGAAATCCACTGGACAGACGTTGTCGTTTTCTACAACATATTCCTGTCCTTGCTTCAGCTGCATTGCCAGAAAGGCATTCTGAACCCACACTGACACTTTCTTCTCCACCAGATTCTTCAAGAATCCAGGAATGCTGATTTTGTCTTCATTGTTTGTACATGGGGTGTACTGAATCTTCTCTGAGATTAATTCTGCAATGGGCATGATGAGAATTTCTTCTGAATCATAGAGACTACAACACAAGCCTTCCTCCAAGACAAGAAATTTAACCTCTGGAATGTCCTCGTTGTTGTACGGGCTGCGTTTTCTAAGGCGGAGCAATCCCTTGTCGTCTAAAGTGTAAACAGTGAAACCATAGGGGACATAGTCCTCAATTTCTTGGAAAAACTTTACCACAGCATCCTGACTCACAGTTTTCAGTTTGATCAGAAGTTCATCCTTTTCACTTTTGTAGGTATCATCTGTAAATCCACTTGGCACAGTGTTGGTTTCTTCAGCGATACGTAAAATGTCCATTGGATCATTAATGTCAGTGTCTTCTGTGTCTATTGAGTCAAAGATGGCCTTGAAGAATGAAGCAGGAGGACCCCGGACAAATGTCTGGTCTCCTGTAGACAGGAAGCCGTACTGGCTGACGTGGCCCCAGATCATGGCCAGGATGATGTTCAGGTGCTGCATGCAGACCATGGGGCTGGACAGGTAGGTCAGCTGCACTCCCTGATCCAGCAGCAGGGAGTCCACTTCGTCGATTATGATGCACTGATAGCTGCGATCAGGCCTCACATCCTTCATCTCAAATATCTGGCGAAGGTGATCTGCAGCGAAGGCTTCGATAGTGCCATAGACCACGTCCTTCTGGTAGCATTCTTTGCGATCTTTATCTTGGGTTTTATTTGTGTTTGTGTCAGCTGTCAAGCCAAAGTACTTGTAGAAGTTGGTCCATTCTTCTGCATCTCTTTGACATAACACAGAAGAGCTGGACACCACATCTACTTTTTCACCCCTAAGCGCACGCAGCACTGCAAACATTGCTATGACACAAGACTTCCCTTCTCCAGTGCCCATCTCCAGGAGAATCCCAGTGTCAGACAAGGCCAAGAGGCACCAGCTGGTCATCTGGGTGGTTCTGGGCCACCACTTCCCTTCAGCCTGGCACAGGTTTACAGCATTGCATAAGACTGCCAGGACCTCCTGAAGGTCTTCTGTGTCCGTGCTGTGACTCAGATTCCTAGCTCGCTGTACATCTGTGTGGTTTTTAATTTCACCGGTTTCGATCAGGTTTGTTACATGAGTTACTACACTGTATGATTTACTCAGTGTTTGTTCATCGATGTCTTTCATCTGCCATATTTCATCAAACAGAGTGTCAAGGCTTTTTGTTTTCTCATCTCTCAGGCTCTTTTCTAAATGCTGGATCAGATTCTCAGTTCTAGTTGACTCTAAGAGTTTAAGGAGAGATTGGTTGTCCTTGTCTGTCCACGTGGAAGACACCTGATACGTTGCCATCAAGTGTAAAATCTTCATGATGGAAATACAGTCTTCATCATGATGGTGGTCAGTTAATGCTCCAACGAGATTTAAGGTCTCAACGTGGGACCAAAGTCCAAGATTTGAAACCATCTGGAAGAGTTCCTTGAGTTGTGCTGTTGAGTCTTGGAACTGCTCTGCACAGTTAAATAAAATCTCCAAACACCATTTGCCTGCAGGAGATGTCCTGTTTTTCTCAGCTTCTGTTTCTCTAGTAACCACTCTCAGGAGATTCTCAAGAAAGGTCAGAACAAAGACCTCATTAGAAGGAAGTTCCTTTCCAGTAACTTTCTGTGAGATGGTGATGATTTTATTGTCAGTGTTTGTGTCGTTGTTTAGGTTGGTGTGGAGCACCTGAAAAAGAGCCTTAAGAAACATGTGTCTCAGTTCCATATCCTCACTCTGAAATTTACCCATGAGGCTTTGCAGGACCTCTGCAGCAAACACCAGGGAATCATTGTCCTTGAGCCTAGAAAGTTCCAGATTATGTGAAGAACTGAGACTTTGTTGTTCAATGATAAATCCACGTCTAAGCTGAGGGTTCCCTGTTCCCATCCCCTCGATGCCGTACTGAAAGTAATCAGAGATGAAGTCACTGATGGTACCGTACACAATGTCTGCTTCATAGACCTCCCTGTAAGATGCATTTGTTTTCTTCATGTTTGTGTTGAGAGAGATTCCCAGGTGCTTGTAGAAGTCAGACCACTCCTTAGTTCGCTCCTCTGAGGGAACATCAGCGCTCAGCACAATGTCCAGTTTGTTTCCCATGCAGACTTGTGTGGCTGCAAACATGGCTGTGACACATTCGTCTTCTTCCACACAAACCAGTTGTAGCTCTCCACTCTTCAGCACCAACGCACACCACCGCAGCATCTGCCTCACTGTGGGCCACCAGCCTTTGGTGTCAAAAACTGCTTTGCAGAGCTGAGACAGAGACTTCTGTAGGTCGTCTGCATTCAAGGGATCACGTGTGAAGGAATCTTTCACAAATGGTGCATCTTTAGGTGCATTTTCTGCGTACTGCAGGACACCAGTGGTAATGTTTTTTATCATATCAACCACAGAATCATCCAAATTCCATAACATCTTCACTTCTGCTAGAGCTGCAGGTAGACTGCTCTCATCGTTCCTTCTGAGAGTATTTAGGAAATCCTGATGGAATCTCTCAGGGCCAGCAAAGTCCAGAGCCTGGACGAGAGTGTGTCCGGACTCATCCGTCCACTCTGGTGATATGTCATAAGCTTGCACCAGCTTAAGGACTTCAGTTATTGAAACATCCTCTGCATATTTCTGTGACAGTGCTTTGAGCAGAGTCACTGTCTCCGTTGGGGTCCATTGGTTTCTTTGCACAAGTCTGAGGAGCATCTCAGTGGATTCTGAGTGGGTTTCTTTGCCAGTTAGATGTGTGAGTGTGGATAAGAGAAGCTTCAAGCACTGGATTTCCATCTTTAAAATGAACACAGAGGCTCTTCCCACTACATTCTGCAGTGATGATGCGAGGGTGCTCAGGAATTCTATAAGACAGAGGTTCTCAGTGGAAAGCTTATCTCCAGCCCACTGTTTGGCTATGAGGACTGCGTCAGTATCAGAGCTGCTATAGTCAGTGAAAAAGTGCATCAGGTTCAGGTACAGAGCTTGAGTCAGCAGGAGACTCTCAGCAGCATTGCGTGCTGATTGGCTGATGGAGTCCACCAGGGACTGCACCTGATTGGAGATGCTTTGTAGGGGAACTCCCTCGGGGATCTCCAGAGACAGGGCACACAGCTCTGTGATGAACACCTGAGTGTGCTGCAGAGTGCTGAGGGACGGGGGAGCACTGATCCATTCATCAAACAGAAGTTTGTCCAGGACTGACAGGATCTCCCGCTGCTGGTCTGCTGTCAGCTGAGTGAGACTCAGATCTGGAACAGGGGAACTGCATTTCTTAGAGAGGATTTCTAGAAGCTCATCCCTGCCTGATTCATACTTAGCCTCAAACTCATCCAGATGCCACATCTGAACATCTCGCTTGGACTCATATTCTTCTGAAATGTGGCTGCTCTGTTGTTTCTCATGCTGCTCTTTGGCTCGTTGCTGCGATTCTTGTAGACTTTGATCCAGTTTCTGTCTTTCCTCTTCTCTTCTCTTCTCTTCCTCTCTTCGTCTCTCTTCTTCTGTTCTCTTCTCCTCCTCTCTCTGTCTTTCCTCTTCTCTTCTCCTCTCTTCATCTCTTCGTCTCTCCTCTTCCTTTCTCCTCTCTTCCTCTCTCTGTCTTTCCTCCTCTCTTCTCCTCTCCTCCTCTCTCCTCATTTGCTCTTGATCCCTGATTGGTTTATTAAAGCAGTATTCACACTCGTACATACCGGCGCCAACTGGTCTGTAGTATTCACCTCCATTGAACACATGCACGTACCGCCCATGAACAGTACTTTGGTATAAGTTATCAAAGGATCTGCATGGAGGGAGGACTTTATTACAAATGTAGCATCTCAGGCTGTCGCCCATGTTACTTTCTGATGGTACGTTCCCCATTTTTGTTGATTTAGTCAGCAGTTAGATGGTGCTTTTCATGTGCAACCTGTGTTTTGATGAAAGACAAAAAATATATGAATTTGAATGACTTTGATATAACAAACTCATACAGGGTAGTCTTTCTGCTTTGATTCTTTGCACAAGTGAGAGTAGCTATTACAGTTTTTCTCAATTGCTTACACACAAATTCTGGTACTTGAGACACAATGACCACAACATGTAACTCATTCACCAACCCCTTGAACCAATTCTGCTAAACTGCAAGCACAATTCCTGCTTTACACTCTAATTGCAGTTCTAAAACACTTTTTTCAAAACACTACACACAATTCTCTGCTTTTGGCACAAGTTTCATGCAGAAAATATCTTGTTTTCACAAGGAACACACTGCCATTCAAATATGCACGCTGACTCATCACAAGGGCAAACAAACGTCACACAGTTTTCCAATTAGCAATCAGAGCTTTAGCATAAAAGGGCAACAGGTGAGCTCTTCAATGGAGCAATGGATGCCAACATTGGAAACAGAGGCAGAGCCAGAGGAGTGAGAGGACGAGGACGAGGACGAGGACGGCCAAGGACCGTAATCTCTGATGAGATATTGCCTGTGGACTGTTCTGTAGGACTGTAAAAATACTGTAAAGTATGTTTCAAGTATTTAGGAAATGTATACCTACTTTGTATTTACAGTATTTTACTATTTGTTTAGCAGAACTGAAAGATTACCAACACAAGGTGGTCGGGAACGTCTTCAGTCTCCTGAACAGGAAACTGAAATCATAAACTTGGTCCTAGAAAACAACGCCATAACATTACAGCAAATACAAAGAAAAATAATAGAAAACAATGACATATTTCAAAATATTGATAGGGTAAGCTTTTCAACACTGGACCGTGTCTTGCGCAGAAATCATCTCAGGGTGAAGCAGGTCTACAGGGTGCCATTTGAACGCAATTCAGAAAGAGTCAAAGAATTGAGATATAACCATGTGCATGTGAGTCCCACTTGGGGGTGTAGTCGCAGAATGACGGGGACACCAACGCACAAGTATAAATGAATCGCCATGCTAGGCGATATTTCCCCCACTGCTTGGCCAGGGAAAGCATTGCTTGTGATGTGGATGAGGTGCCTAGTGCATAGTTTGTTTTTTATTTTTTTTACTTTAACTGTGTACAGTAAATTCTTCTGTTGTTTTGAATGTTCAACTTTGTGTTGGTTGGGAATGGGATGTACACTATGTACATTGTTTTTGTGGGATAAATAAAATATATTTGTTACCGTGTATTTGTGTGTTCTGAGTATAAAAACAATCTTCTCAAATATATTACAACACACTTATGTATGTACTGTCTGTAGTAAGTGTAACACTGAACAAAAAAAAGGCTGTTTTCCAGTCATCATTGTGTTTTACATTGAGCACATCAGTGTTCAACTGGTTCTTATGTCTATTCATATGATGGTTTGTGTGTCATTTGAAAACAAAATACCATTTTGAGAAGAAATAACATTGTTTTGAATGTAAAGTTTCATTTTGCAGGAGAATTGAGGGGTTTTGCTGTGTTTTTATCTTTTTTTTCTGTTTTTATTTGTGTGTAGAGTTCTGAGAATATGGCACATTCTTTCAGAAAATGTGTGTAAACAAATGAGAAACTGTAAAATTTTGCGTCAAGGTGCTCACCTCGTAGAGCGCATACCGTGTATAAAGGCTTAGTCCTTGCTGCAGCGGTGTAGGTTTGACAGCAGGCTCATAATAAAGCAGAAATGCAAAAAATAACCTTATAAGGTAAATTATGTTGATATGGAGGTTAGTAGCAAAATACCAAACTTTGAAACATGAAACTGGTGCAGTTAGCCAACCTTTAAAAACAACTGCCAACCTCACAATTAGTGTGACATACTCTCACATCTAAGAACAATCTTTCACAAGTCCTAGCACATACAGGATTCTGAGAAGACTGGGAATCATGCAGCATTACACACAGTTTTTTTTTTTTTTTATCTAAACCCTCCTCGTCTTGAAGAAAATAGCAGCAGCTGGGAACAAACAGAACAAAGAAGGGGCTGCAAAATGACTATGCCGCCCTGTTTAAGAGAAAATGGACAGCAAGGTTTGTCCATCCTGCAGAAACAATGAGGAGCAAGTTATGTCAACTCGCTGAGCAAGGGCAATTCAGTTTTTTAATCTGGCCAATTGTTTTGTTCAACAATAAGACATTAACTGATTGAAGGTAGCAGCCATGTCAAAGAGAACAAACCTTCCGGCTGACTAACAAGTTTCGTGATGGGAGGGCAGAGAAACTCTGTTCTGTTCCAACTAGGAAATTTCTAAAAAACTTGAAATCAATTCAAAATTTTTCCAATGGCCAGTATATGGTACTACTGGAAGACCTAAACAGATACTTTGCAGATGACATTTCTGCATGTGGGAAAAAACAACCTTAGATGAGACTAGATCATGTAAGAAACAAATTGAAAATGCGTTTCTCTAGTTATGACCACACTATCAAAAGATGCATTGATAAATGTGCAACTGTGACAAAAGAATTTCCCCTCGGGGATCAAAAAAGTAATTCTAATAAAACACAAAGATTGTGTACGAGGCACTGTACAGCTTGGGGGTGTAATCGCAGAATGACGGGGACACCAACGCACAAGTATAAATGCATGGCAATGTGTGTAACTACACATGTAGACCCTAAGCAGGAGTATAAATCAAACTTAAGTGTGGGGGTATTGGGGAGCCAAAAAGACCTTCCCACCTCCAATATCACACGTATGCAGCTCACAGCCACGTTTCGTTCCCCCCAGCTAACTCTCTCTGTGTTAGCATTGATAGATTCTGGTGCTAAGGGCAACTTTTTAGAATCAGTTAGCCACTCAGTCTGGTTTCCCAATAGAGCAGCTCTCTAAGCCACACACTGCCAGGTTAGTCGACAGCAGAGTTCTGGCTCGTATAACTTATGTCACCTTCCCCATTGAGTTAGTCAGGCAACCACCATGAGAAGATTTCTTTCAATCTCATTACTGCTCCTAAGTCATCAGTAATTCTGGGCTTTCTCCGGCTGAAGCTCCACAACCCTCTCATTGATCGGTCAGCTGGGAGAATAGCTCGTTGGAGTCCATTCTGTTTTTCTATTTGTTCACACCCTGCCTCCTGCTGGGGGCACCATTAAACCCACCTGCAATGAGCTCCCAAATTTGACCATGATCCCTTTGGGGAGTTGTTTTGTAAAGAGCTGGCGCTTTTGAGTCCAACTTTTGTGTTTTTTGGCTGTGTTCCAAATCCTTGTTAACAATGTGCTCAGAGACTTTTTGAACCGTTTTGTGTATGTGTACCTTGATGATATTCTCATCTTTTCAAGAGATACTGAGTATACTGAGTTACTGATTGTTACGGCCGCCACTGGCTGCTGTTTAGCGTGTATTAATTGTGTTGTTTCCATGAGAGATTCTGCCGGTTATGCTAATGCAGCTGTGTGAATCCCCATCGAGGATTGGTCCCTCTGGAGATGAGACTACCTATCTTCCTGGTTGCTGTTCGCTGACATCTGTGATTGGTGTGGCTGTGATCTGACTGAACCTAGCAATCATAAGTCTCCAATCAACCCCAGCTTCACCTTAGCACCTAAATAGCTTGTGTTTCCACAGTTTAGCTGTGACCAGTGATCAGTTCACCTCGCTGTTGATTGCATATCATTGTTTTTAGTCTACAGAGTATTGTTTGTTTTCTTTAATTGTCTTTTGTAGGCTTATGGGTGCTTAACCAGAACCATTCCAGTTGGTGTATTCCACCTCATTTCCAATCCCAATTATATGTTACTGCTCTATAAGACGAGCCGGGTCGTAACACTGATCATGTGTCCCATGTCAGCCAGGTGCTTCAACGACTGCTTGAGAACAAGCTCTATGTAAAGGCGGAGAAGTGCAAGTTTCACGCAAGGTCTGTAAGTCTTTTGGGATACATCCTTGACAGCTTGCAGTTGAAGACAGATCCCAAATAAAGAGAAGTGGCAGAATGGCCAAGTCCCATATTGTATATACTGTATACCAAATCCACCTACCATCTGCACATAATACTTGTTCATTCCAGCATCCTTTGCACTATGCTCCAACGCACCGTGTACATGTATGCACGTATGTGTATGTGCACCTGTATATCACATTCACATATAGAGGTTGACACATCATACATGCTTCTCACTGGCTTATGCATCGCCAAGAAAACTATTCTCATGAACTGGAAGGCCAAAAAGAATATAAAATATGGCTTGGAGGGACCGGTTTGTGTCCCTGGTTTGCTTCGTTGGCCTCAGATCCATGCTTCCCCATTTCTCTGTCAGCCAGTTGTCAGACCTCCTCCACTGGCAGTGCTCCGGTTTATTCTGGGCTCGTGCCTGGATTTCTTGGCCCTTGGGGGATCGGTGGGTTGGGGGTGGTATGCAGCTGTGCTAGTTGATTTTGCCTTGTTGCTGGTTTGGCTGGCGTTGCACGGCGGCCTGGGGGCGTGCTGTGCATGGGGGACGGCGGACTGTTATTGGTGGGTGCACGCTGATGCGGCGTGTTTGCTGCCGGGCTGGGACTTGCTGCTGGTGTTTCTCTCCGCTGGCTTTCCCTGTCGTGTTCTGCTGCTCGCTCTCTCTCGTTTGCTCGACCTCGTTCGCCAGAGTCGCTGGGGGCTGCCGGGCATTGGGTGTCGCCGTGCTCGTTTGCATTCAGCTCGTCACTTGTGCATTGGCGTTGATGATTGCGTGACATTTGGGCATTTTGGTTGTTCGCTGGGGAGGGAGCACTTCCGTCGGTATTGCGTTGTCAATTGGCATTAGGATGGTCGTTTGTATTTATTTAATTTTTTGGGGGGTCGTCTGTTTGTTGGGTCGGGGTCTTCCGCGTTTGCATCGCGGTGCATCTGGGAGTCATATATTTATTTATTTTTCTCCCACCATTATTGGCTACTGGGGTTCTTGCCCAATATCAATCACAGGGGGTCGGTGCTGGGGTCGGTGTGGCACAGTCGTGGCGTCCCACTCTCACTAACAATGAGCAACAACAACAACGAATCAATACATAATTAAATAAATAATAAAACAGACAAAGGAGTATTTTAATACCCTCTTGTTAAAGTACAATCTGTCTGGCACACATGGTATCCAGGTCATTATACTCTAGGCTGCTGGGCAGGACAGGTCCATCCATCCATCGTCAACCTCTTATCCTGCGTACAGGATCGTGGGGGGCTGGAGCCAATCCCAGCAGACATCGGGCGCAAGGCGGGGTACACCCTGGACAGGTCGCCAGTCCATCGCAGGGCCACACATAGACGAACAACCACTCACGCTCACACCTGAGGACAATTTAGGGTCACCAATCAACCTAGCCTGCATGTCTTTGGATGGTGGGAGGAAGCCAGAGAGAACCCACACAGACACAGGGAGAACATGCAAACTCCACACAGAAAGGCTGGGGCAACCGGGGTTTGAACCCACAACCTTCTTGATGTGAGTGCTAACCACTGTACCACCGTGCCGCCCGGGAAGGACAGGTTCAAAAATAATATTATATATATTATTAATATATAATAATTAGCACTTAACTGTTTTTATCATGTAGCACTTTGGGATTTATTTAAATATAAAGTTATTATCGTAATTAATTTAATATTTAATGTGGTTTCCACAGTAATGGGCTGAGGCAGAGTCAAAGTAGATCAGGCTGATGTTTCCCCTCTCGACCGGCAGCTGGCAGTATGAGTGCATTTAAATGTACGGCTGGTTTGGGTCTTTGTTAGCTTACATGCCAACATTGATCCAGGTCAGTGAAAAACATGTATTTAATGCCCTTCATGTCATATTTGATGTTAATAGGTTATTTGCAAATTAATTATATACATTGTGTATTTATTTTGTATTTGTATATAATTTCACAACAGGACATGGAGAAATTAACACATGATTAGAGATCAGAAACAGCTTTATTGCCAAGTAGGTTTACACATACACAGAATTTGCTTTGGTATTTTGGTGCATAACAATAAACATGTAAGTAAGCCTAATGCAGGTGAAGAATCATAAATATAAAATGAACAATACGATATAAAAATATAAAAGAATAATAAAGAATGTGTGCATGTTATAAAGGACAATTACAAAAAAGAGATTGATTTGTTTTTGGTGGACACAATTCAATGGACCTAGCTCCAGTCATAGCACCACCTGTACTCCCGGTTTTTACACTGCACCTTCATCGATCTATCCTCATCATCATCATCATCATCATCATCCAACCTCAGCTTGCACATAAGGTCAGCTAAATGAATAAATGTAATGTAACGTACTTCACTCTTGTGCTGTGAACGTGGATAAATGCACAATATTAAACTGCATGTACATTTATTCATTTAGCTGACACTTTTATCCAAAGTGACTTACAATTGCTATTTGTAGTTTTTTTTTATGTCAGAGGTCACACACCTCTGAAGCAACTAGGGGTTAAGTGTCTTGCTCAGGGACACAATGGTGGATGGGTCACAGAGGGGGATTGAACCGGGGTCTCTCAACCTTTAGGTTCAGGTTTGTTTTTTCTAACGTTTCCCTGGTATAGTGCTTTCATAATGTCACAGAATGGCCTTTCGAGAATCTAGGCTTTTATTTTGTCTTTCTTCAAATGCATAAACAAAAAAACTAATTTGAAAAAAACAACATAATTTGGATTCTAAAATAAAAACATCAAACATTGTATTTCCGGTTCAAATGAAGAAACAAACTAACAAACTGTACATGGACCTCTTGTTGTAGTTACTCACTGTGCCCACAGGAGAGCAGCGAAGAGTCATAATTTTAGCTTTGTGCCTCCACTCTGCTCTTCTTCTCCTCTTCTCCTTTTCTACCTCTTCTCTTCTTCCTTCATTCCTCCTCTCCTCCTTCTCCCCCCCACCCCCTTTTGCTTTCTCCTCCCCTCAAACCAGCAGAAAACAGACCTGAAACTTTCCTGTGTTCCAAAATGCAGCGACGCCTGTAAGGTAGTTTAGACAGTCAACTTGAGCTGCACCGAAAACACATTCCCCGTCATCCAACAATCACACCGTCTCGATTTGGAGGTCTGTTTAAACTGCAACAGTGTCCCTGCTCTGTCAGAGTGCTGCTGCCTGCATGAGTATTGCTGCTGTTCTTTCAACCCCACCACCACCACAGAGGTCGGAGCCTAGACGCCAAACTGTTCTGCTGTAATACATTTTTCAGCTTGAGCTGTCTGACTGAACTGACAAGTTAACAAACCTTTTTGTTGAAGCAAAGAGACGGACATGGTTTTTTGGCACAAATCCTGTTTACAATTTTGTTTAGTTTTTACAGTGAAGGACGAGTCGAAGCACAAAAGGAAATATGGATTCAAACTGGCTTCTCTCCTGCTCAGCTCCCCTTTAACACAGAAATGCCCGAAGAGAAAACTCCAAGAAAAAAAGTGGCTCAGACAGCTGAATTAATAAAAGGACGACAACAACTTGCTGATTAATGTCTAAAAACTGGGGAAAAGTCTGGCAGCCAAAGTTGTAAAATAGTTCCTATTAAATTACAGTAAAATACAATATATTCATATATATAAATAATTACGAGATCAGGATCTCGTAATTATGAGATAAGGCTTCCAATTTTTTTCTTTGGTGAATGCAATGCGCTTCTGTAGAAATCAAACATTCATCTGATGTGAACACTTTTCAAACGTGTAATAAAAAGACATCAGACTCACCCTGTTCCTGTGAAGGTCCGTCAGGTCAGCAGCTCGCTGGTGCCCCGTCCTCTGTAAGCAGAGAGACCTGCTCATTTATATAATGGTGACTCCACCCATATAAGCCCATGGGCCAGACCAGATTTCACAATCATACCTATATGGGGGGGGGGGGGGCAGAGGGTGTGGCTGCCCCAGGCCTACTGTTACCTTCAGTTACAAAGGGGCCACCCCGAGCCAATCTGCTTGACAGAACAAGTATTTTTGTTGTTAGAATACACTGATTAAATCACTTGTTTGTGTATCTTGATTGTGGCAAAAAGAAAAAGTCAGACTCAGGGAACGTCTGTGTCTTCTGCAGAGACGAGCCCCCCCCCACCTCTGCTAAGGGGTTGTCATCAACAAACAGCTCCCTAAACAAACAGTGGCTAATTTAGCATTATCTCTAAAGCTAAACTATTAATAAATCCATGTGTATATTTATGCAAATTATTTGGTAACCACGTATGCATGTCAGCTTGTGCTTGTACTCTGTGTACTGTGTCAGTTCCTTAAGTCCATTAAAAAGTGTGACAGCGATCCCACAGTAAGAAGCCATTTCTCAACATAAACTTAAACAAGTCATGTCTCTGCGTCATTTCTCATAACATGCAGTATTAATACGTATAATCATATTTCTTTGTCACACAAAATAACATAAATAAACACATCAGAGGCCTGTACTATGAAGGGAGTTCAACTCAGGGTTGACAAACTCTGACTGCTATTTGCATAATAAGAGTTTTTTCACAACAGCGCATGCTCCGTATTATCCCCAGAAGAATGCACGTTGATAGTGTCGGGATAAGAGGAGTTTATAGACACGTTAACAGCTAAATCTAATATCGTGGCGGCCGACAAAGCCAAGGAGGCTTGTTGGTATTGTATGGAGTAAATTTGTAATTATCTTCACAGTGTTATTGTTGGCAAATTCTTTATTATGTATCCTGATATGATTAAGATGGAAAGGTACAACTGTACATAAAAAACAAGAGTTCCAAGATTAATCTACATGTAAAAAACCTGAATATTCTCTGACATTATAGTGATACATTTATGAGAGAAATTCATCACTCACACACCTCTGGCATGCATAAGGCATGCAGTGGAAAGTTATATTAAACTTCACAATTAGATTTAGCAGTGAGGAAATACTTATGAGTTTAGTCCACAATCACTATATTATCATGCACTTTAGAGACTTTGCTTTTTTGTGACTTTAATGTCAGGGAATTTCCGAGTTTTGTTGTTGTAAATTTGCCACTTTTCTTCACGGTTTATTACCAATGGCTCCGTATTTTTTGGACACGTAAAATAGTCAATCTAAATATGTGAAAACACATACTGCAGGCCTATGTACACACTTATAGCCTACAGATGGGCTACATCTCAGAAAGTGGCCCATTATTTGATTAAGAGCTCCTCCCGAAAATCACAGAGGCTGTAGGGCTCGCACGTTAGCACGTCAGCTGCAACCGCAGTGGAACAAGTCAGGATGAAATCTAAACATATTTAATCAAGTGGGGTGTATTAATAGCATATTTCTCATCATTAACACCGAGTACAGATGTGGTGTGTAGTCCACACATACATTGTAACCTCAAGTTATAAGGTCAATAGAAGTAAATTAGTAATAGCTTTTCCACAGGAGCAGCTAACTCATAACATAATATAAGTAGGCAAATGCAAATGAGTAACAAAGTAGTTATTTGGTAAGAGACAGCTTTAACCGGTATACTGTCAAGTATTAATGAGCTGTACAGAAGCAAACATTTTGAAAATCAGAACACCTGTTCCATTTAAACTTTGGTTTTTCTACTAATGTCACTCAAATCCAGTAAGTGCACACACACTGTGCCCATAGCGCTACATACACAGCAAATATGAACAAAATACAACAGAACATAAATAATAAAAATATAACATTCCCCTGCCCACCTGACCACATAAACATAGCACCCACACAAACCCAAAGAGTGAGACAGAGAGAAACTAGCTAGTCATAGGCCTGAGAGAACAGGTAGGTATTGATCCTGGAGGGCTGGAGGGTTTGTAAGCAGAGAGCAGGCCAGAGAAGGATTTTTGAGTGAGACCATTTACATATTTGTAAATGGTGAGCAAAACTTTAAAATCAAGTATGTATTTTACCAGAAGGCAGTGAAGTAATGTGTTTAGTTTTTCTGTCCCAGTGAGTACTCTGGCTGCAGCTTTTTAAGTGAGCTTTGACTAGCATGGAGAAGATGAATGCATGAACCCGTTTTTCTGACTGAGACTAGATGGAATTTACTTTGGAAGTATTTTTAGGCCTTAAAGTGCTGTTCTACTTATACTTGTTATATGACTTGTGAAGTCTGACCCCAGGACCTTCTTGTTGTGAGGCCACAGTGCTGTCAAGTTAACGAGGTGAGGAATAGGGTTTTAGGGGGTAGGGATGTGACAACTGACAAAAGGGAGAGAAAGAGGTTAAACAGGCTTACATACGTATGTGCAGGTGGGTGATTGGACTAGAGAGGCCCAGGTGGATGAAATGAGTGAAGCACGGGTGGTTGAATTTGAGGAATTAAGGTAGCAGGTGGTTGAATTAGTGAGAGAGAGAGGCGTGGTCCTGTTCCTGAACTTTAGTTGAATAACTTCACGACCAGAATGTGACATTTACATAAACCATACCTCACCTTCCTACATTGGACCCCTAAGGGGAAATTCTTGAGTTGAGTTAGCCACTAAGCCATTACTTCATTGAGCTTGTTGCTTGTTAAAGTTATCTGTCAGACTCTGAACCCCTCACCTTTAGTCAGGTCTCTCACCTTGGGGATCTTCAGAATGGCAGAGTTCTTGGGGGGGGGGTTCAATAGATTTTTAACGAGGACAGAATCGGATTGTGGATCCGAACTCGGGATTTAGCAGTGGTTGAAAAGTAGGGTTACAATAATAACCTCATGTTAACCACGGAGAAGCTCACAAATAGACCTCAACAGAAATTAGCCCCTAGATTAAGGCCCTCCCTTCTCCCCTTCTGCCACAGTACCTCCTTCCCCCACCTTAGCTTCAGAGTGATGAATGTTTCTTCATACATTTACACAAGTTCACACAAATCTCGATGGTGTCAGGTCACTGTGAGGAATGCAGGAAATACAGGTAGTGCAGTTGCTCCAGGCCCTGTGGCCTGTTCAGACTGATGTCTGTCAATAGCCGATGGGGCTTCTTCCAAGTAAGTACTTAATTTATAGGGCTGTGCAAGTTAACGTGTTATTAGAGACAATTTGTTTTTATTATCAGTCTATTATTATTGTTTTGAAAGTCCGTTGCTCACTGGCTCTGAATACACATACAGTCAAACCATGGGTCACGGGGGGGGGGTGTTGATCAGCCTGCAAATCAGCCACCCAAACAAGCAGCAGACCGAGGCTTCAGCAGACTACGCTGGATGCAGCGTGTGGGAGAAGCAGATAAACAAAAACAAGACAAGCAATCAGATGCCATAGCGCAGTGGAGAGCTACACACTGCATGCTGGTTAGTACTGGGGAAGATTTCAGTCTGAGGAACGTTCTTAAAATCACAACGTAGTCGCTTGGCCCCGTGGTATGAGAAGCCGCCTAGGCCACAATTGAATACTTCGCTTGCACATACAGTCATTTGTAAGTATGTATGTATCTGCGAGGTGAGTATTTATGTATGCTTAAGGTTAGTATGTATATATGTGTAACAGTGTAAATAAGTGCTGTATTTTATTTTGTTAACAGAAATTCCCAGCAAAAGAGTGTTTTGAGCTAAATGCAGTGCATTATGGGTGACCCACAGTAGTTGGGAATGCCATGCTATGGGTAAGTAGGGATGCATTCTGCTCGGACACATATTAAGCAATAAATGTTGTTCACTGAGGAGAAGTTAATGTTTTTTCCTGCAGTGAAGTGATTTCAGCAGGACCAAAACTATCTTGGAGTAAGTTTATTTCATATTTGCAAATGGACTGAAGGCGCACAGAGATCAAAGGTCCCCACAACCAAAGAGCAAAGATCTGCTTTCCTTTCTATTCTTTCAAATACAAAGTGTACAAAATGTAGAGGAGGGGCTGTTCCACAGATGGTCACACATACTGTAGGTCATTAGTTCATTGCTAGAATCATCATTCTGCAGTTTCCTCATTTTAACTGCAGGTTCCTGTTTCGCTGAAGGCCCTGTCCCTTAGCCTCCCATTTCAAGTAACACACAGGTGACATACAGAGGAAAAAAATCCCTATCAGGCACTTTGAACATATAACAAGAGAAGAAATGTTCAGGCAGTTTAACATACATTTTCCATTACAGTACTCCAGGAGACTGGAGGAGTACAGAGTCCATGGTGTGCCATGGATGGAGAAGGTGTTTGCTCGCCTGCAAAAGGCTCCTAACACACTTCTGAGGTTGCTGATGTTCGCCAGCTGTGTCGACATGGTGATGAACGCTGACTATGTGAATTACAACCACCTCAGGGAGCTGCTGCAGGAGATGAGTCCAGTGATGTCTCAGTATCAGCTGCAGAAGCTCCAGATCCTGTCATAGTTTACCTTGTTTTGACCTGGATGGTACATGAGGGCATCCCCAGCTCCAGCAAAAACCTCCAGGCCTTTTCAAGCCCAAACTAACAGCCAAAGACGTGGAGGAAGACATCGTCCAGCCTAAGGAAGATGAATATGATTTTCCTCGCACACCGTGTGAGCACGGTAAATCACGCTTTGCTAGCTTCCTCTCCTAATTCATCAGATGACATCTATGTGACAGGTGCTGTTATAAGAGCCCCTGTGCTTCAAACTCCAGTCTGAAGTATGAGCAGGACTGGACGGGGCGGAGTCACGTGACTACACACGCGGTAGGATGTTTTAAGGTTAAAGTACAAGAACACACACACAATATTAACAGGATTAAATAACCGACATGGGAAAATTACGTCGGTTTCAGGCTCTGAATTTCGGTTTCGATTACTTTTCAATCAAGCGTCCAGCCCTAAGGCAAAGTGCCTGCCTGCCTACTCTAAACACTGGACAGTGCTGGAGTCTATTGTCAACATGGAGAAACAAACAAAACCTTTAGTGGCAATCGATGAGTATCTCAGAAAACACTAAATAATAGTGTGAATGTACGATACCTTCGAGCTAAAAAGGGCACAAGAAGGAGAAGAAGAGTAAGTAAGACACCGATACACACCATACAACAGATATCACTAAGCATTTCACACAAAACATGCACAGACAAAGTTGGTCTTCCATCATTGCTCTGTGAAAACCTATTGGGGAAAAACAAAATCATTTTTCAGAAAAAAAAACTGATAATGTTTCAGACAGATATATTTTTGCTGTGGTCACTAACTCACAGGTGTGGTCTATCAATATCAGGTGGTATTTTCTACAAATGTAGAACGACTTCCTTATAATTTCACTTTAAACATAAGTGGCACATTGTTACTTTCGACCCCGTCACAACCATACAAGCTAGATTTTTTGTCTTACCCTTGTATTTAATAAATAAACATATGACCTTGTTAATGTGTAACTGCAAACATATTTTGTCCTTTATCTTTAAAAAAATGATTATTACATTTTTTTTTTATATTCAGTTTCAAAAGTAACCTGACAGCCCAAACTTGAATTGTTTAGAATATTTCATATTATATTAAGGATATATTAAAAATATATAATATAAATATGCAAATGTGTGCACCTAAAACAGAGGAGAAATGGTTAGATGGAGATTGTTTATGACCTGATATGATTAAAATAAAATAAGACTTTACTGATCTGCACTGGGGATATTTGCATGTTGCAGTATCTTCAGAAACAGTGAAAAAATTAAACATAATAAATAAAATTACAAATTAGGATAAAAATTAAAAAGCTATTTACAGAATAGGCCTATACAAATTCCAAATTTTGAATTGAATTTAGTAAGAACAGTATGAGTGATCTGCATTTTGAGTGCTTCTTACTGACACCTACTACACTGAGCTCCTTAGGAGACAGGCCAAAATAAAGATCAGCAGCTCTCTTAATATAAGCATGCAGCTTCCTCTCTTAGTCCAAGTAGAAGACTTAATAATGTGATCTGTCTTCTTCCCAATTATCTCTGCCCTCCTCCTGCATTATCTGAACAAACTGACCTGAGACTAATGTTTCTAATAGAGATGTCCAGAAACGCCTTCTCATAAACATCTGTCTGAATCAGACCTCTGTCTTTCTGACCCACGCTACTGGCATATTATGTTGGTATAATATGACATAAACATGTTTTAATAAATGCTGCAACACAAAGGAAAAGTCACCACATTAGCAGCTGGACAAAACAAACACTTACGGTCAGGTGTAGCGGGACGAAAGTAACACTTGTAAGTTTCGTCCCGACAGGAACTCCTGACATTTAAACCCGATTTACATTTATACTGAAAAACCCTGACAGGGCAAACTTCAGGATGTGTTAAAGCACTAAATAACCTGATAGATTAATCATTACTGTGACAAATAAAACAAGAAACCCAACTTGTAATTCGAAAAAAAAGTCCCTCTTCAAAAATTTACTTGACAAACTCGAAGCTTTCCGGAGAGAACCGCCGGAGACCATGACGAAATCACATTATATTTGGCAGCTTCATCAAGGGTTGCGTGCTGAACATGCTGTCACAGCTTGGAATGCAGATGTAGTCAGGGCTCTGAGAAAATCACCTTGTTACTTCCGTTACTTTCGCCCCTGCTCTCCCCTACTAAAGGGAATTCAGCTCTTTCAGCATTCAAATAGCTCTTCATTTAGTACCACTTCTGCTGGATAAGTTACATTCTTTTTTGTTGCAAGAAATAAATGTACAATACCGGTCATCTGCAATACATTGAAATATTCATTGATGGTTATAAAGTGGGATTTGTCAAAAAACAATACACCCTTCAAATGAGCCTCAGCAAATGACAGAGGTCAGTCTGAACAGGCCCTGGAGCAGCTGCACATGTAGATCCTCCCCTGACACCATCGATTTCTGTGGAACTGACTTGGTACAAGGCAGATTTTTTCACCATTTAACCACACAAGGTTGTATAACAAGATTAACTTGTAGTTCCCTTTGTGCTACTCACAACAATAAACATTATATAGATGTTATATACAGTAGAATTGTGTATTTCATGGTGGAGTGTCACAGTCTGAGGGAAGAAGCGGCCCTGGAGGTCTTTTTTCTCTACCAGTTGTGTAAAGTTATAGGGAAACATTCGTTAGTCATTCAGCTGATAGCAGCACAGGAGTGATGATGGAGAGGAAACACATGGCGAGGGGGGAGTCTTCGGTCTTGTCCTTTGTTGTGTAACAATGGCAGATTCATTTTCATTCTATTTCAAGGCAAAACACTTCAAGTTAATGGGGAAAAGAAATGAACCAACAGATTTCACCATCAAATGTCCCCAAATGATTACGAGCCTTAAAATAACCCCCCGCTGTTCACAGAAGGCCCAGCACAAAGCAGTGCAATAACTGGAGAGCAGATTACTGAAAAACATTCTTGTTGCTCCTGTTGAACAGACACAGCTGAGTGTGCTATTTGTTTTTATCCAGTTAAATGTGGTGGATACACAGAGGTCAAAGGTTACTGCAGGCCTCCAGAAACATGAACAACAGCCATATTAGTGCAGCGTTCTTTCCTGTAACCCACAAAGGACAGAGTGCTCTTGTCAGAGTGCTGCTAGGAGACCTGTACAAACGTAACCACACCATTTTGCAACTTGACTGGTCCCCTTTCCTTGGACACACCTGTTGCCAAGACCAGCGCCAAACACCTACGGTAGGGCTCGCATTCTGGTTGGCAAAGATGTCCAGGCAGCGAAGGGACTTCAGCGGTACCGAGAAGGTGTGGTGGAACTGCAAGGACTTTGTACAGGTCCAACTAGCAGACCAAAGACCATCTTTTCTACCCACAGATGTGACACCATGGCACTTGAGGTGTGCGTACTGTTATGGAAATCTATAATAAATTAAATACTAAGTTTATTTCACATTTGCAAATGTAACTATACAATTCCTAAACCCCAAAACAAATTCAAAACAACGCACAGTGTTGGACAGAGCCATGTTGAATTTAATGAACCTTCCAGGTCATTTTGCTAAAACTCTTACTAGCTTAAAAAAAAACAAGTGAAGGAAAATGTCAGGTCTGTTCATATTGGACAATAGAGTGCACTATATAGCAGTATATCTTTATTATTTAATTGTAATCTGTTGTTTTGTGTATTGATGTTTTAGTGTTGGGTTCCACCAGGAAGAGTAGCTGATGTTTTTTCATCAGCTAATGGGGATCCTAATAAATCGAGTCAAAACCTGCTTCCCTTTCTGTTCTTTCATGCACAAGATGAGAATGTAGTGGAGGGGCTGTTCCAAAGAAGGTCACACATACTGTAGGTCATTAGTTCATTGCTAGAATCAGCATTCTGCAGTTTGCTCATTTTAACTGCAGGTTCCTGTTTCTCTGAAGGTCCTGTCCCTTAGCTTGTAAAATCTGAGTAACACGCAGGTGACGTGCAGAGGAAACGAATCAGGCCCAGTATTTACCCTGTCAGACACTTTGAACATATAACAAGAGAAGTAAATAAAAGGTCGAGCAGTTTAAAATAAATTTTCTGCTACAGTACTCCACGAGACTGGAGAAGTACAGAGACCATGGGATTACTGTACTGCTTTAGCGGCCCAGGAAACTCACAGACCAATTGCATGTGTTTCAATCGTCTCATGTGACGCTGCTCAGCCAATCAAATCTGTACATTCTGATAAGCTTTGCAAGTCAAGTCTGCAAGTGAGATACACCAGAGACGTTTTGGAAACGCACATTTGACAGTCCGTTGTTGACTAAAAACATTTTGATACAACTATTATGGCACTGAATGATAACGCAAGTTAGTTATTCTGATGTTCCGGACCTTTGCTTTCTCTATCTGGACCTCTTTGGATTCGAACTGAATACCCCTGTTAGATCACATGCAAAAAGCCTAAAATGCATGGCATGGCACGCGAAATGTCCTTAAAAGTGGTGATACTATTTATCCACCATCCCATGATATCACGTTGCCAAGGCACTGCAAAAGGCTCCAAACACACTCCTGAGGGTGGTGATGTAGATGCTGTTCATCACCAGCATGATGGCACGGACTCAATGGGTGGAGTCACCATAATATAAAGGAGCAGGTCTCTCTGTTTACAGACAGACTTGGAGGAAACACCAGTGAACTGCTGACCTGAAACATTCAAAAGAACAGGGTGAGTCCAATGTTGTTTTTTTTTACACATTTGAAAAAGTTTCATTTCAGATTAATGTTTGATTTCAACAACAAAGGAAATGATTTCAAATGAATTTAAGGTTGGCGAACTGTCTGTGGCCCCCTAAGTAACACGATCCCTAATATCTATAGACGTAATATCATGGCGAGCTGTGGTTCAATCATGATAAATCGCTTTTCATTTGAACAAGCTCTTTATTAACAGCAACAAGCAGCGACTCACTTTACTGCAGAACACCTGACACCCAGACCAGAAATCTGTACTTTGACAGACAGATGTAAAAGATTGTTACATTGAATCATTCATTCCCTTTGTAAGTGGAGACAACCTTCACCCCCTGAGTCAGCCTTTACTGTAACCCCCCACCCCCTTCTCTGATAGAGAGCACGAGGAAGGTTTTGCTCACTGATATCTGGTCCGGCCCACGGACTCTATGGGTGGAGTCACCTTAATATAAAGGAGCAGGTCTCTGTGTTTACAGACAGACTTGGAGGAGACACAAGCGAGCTGCTGACCTGAAACATTCACAGGAACAGGGTGGTGAGTCTGACTTTTTACTCGTTTGAAAACTTTTCATATTAAATGAAGGTTTGAGTTCAACAACAACAGAGTGACGAAGGAATGTGAGGTTGTTTAACTTTCCGGGGCCCCTAAGTAAGAGGAGCCCTGATATCTTTAGACATTATATTGTGGCGAGCCGTCGTTCACTCATGATAAATCGCTTCTTTTGATCAAGCAGACTTACTTAACAGTAAAAGGCAGTTTGACGCCATGTTTCCTCGTGGGCTTTGAGTCGTCCTTCATTGTCAAAGCAAAAATTAAAGTCAGAACTGAAGTTGTGCCAACAAACCAAGCCGGTCTCTTTACTTTAAGAAAACGTTTGTTAACTTCTTGTCATCAGTTTAGGAACGCAGGAAAGTTTCAGGTCTGTTTTCTGTCAGCTGCTGGTTTGAGAGGAGGAGAAGGAAAATAGGAGGCAGAAGATGAGGAGGAAAAGAGGAGCAGAGAGGAGGTATATAGTTAAACTGATGACTCTTCACTGTGGTCACAGATATCTGCATCTGGTTTCACACAAACTGTTTTCTTGAATCATCCAAATGTCCAGATGAAACATGGCTGCCTCACAAAGTGCCATTCAGTTTAGATCTCCATGAAGCAGAGCAGTAACATCCTCCACCTGCTCCATGAGGCCATCTAGTGGACTGATGCTAGAAGTGGATCAGCTGATGGCAGCTTACTGCTCTCATTCTACCTGACCAATGAGAACAAGCAGCATCTTCTCTGTCCAGCAACAAAGCACTATTGATCCATGTATTGATTAGTTTGAAGTGTAGAGTTGTTTTTGCACATGTAGGGCGCCCGGTTAGACTTTCAAAAAGTACTAGTGCTTAACGTTGGGAAACTTTGCAGTTTGGTTATGATGCCACAGGGCTTCCCCCAGTCCGCTGAACTCTCTCTCTGAAGCATTAAAAACTGACTCCAAGGGGTCTGGACCATGAATGGGTTGGCGAGGACGTTGGTTGATTTCTGACATTGTTCTAATACATAGACAGTAAATGTTGTCTTGTTTTTCCTTTTCATCAAGAGTCAAAGCAGCAGGAGTTCCTGTTATGAGTGAGTTAGTTGTTGTATCATAAAGTCATTCAGATATTTGTCTTTTTTATTTTTCAGGAAACCACAGGTTGGACACGAAAATCACCACTTAAGTGCTGAAAAACACGTTAAAAATGGGGAACGTACCGTCAGAAAGTAACATGGGCGAAAACCTGAGATGCTGCAAGTGTGATATAGTCCTGCCTCCGTGCAAATCCTTCGATGATTTCCACAAAAGTACTGTTCATGGGCAGCTTGTGTATGTGTTCAATGGAGGAGAATACTACAGACCGGTTGGCGCTGATAATATGTACGAGTGTGCATCCTGCTTTAATAAACCAATCAGGGATCAAGAGGAGGAGAGACCGAGAGAGGAGAAGAGAGGAGGAGAGAAATAGAGAGGAAGAGAGAGGAGGAGACCGGGTTACCAGCAGAAAGTAACATGGGCGAAAACCTGAGATGCTGCAAGTGTGATAAAGTCCTGCCTCCGTGCAAATCCTTCAATGATTTATATGTAACTACTCTTAATAAGCAGCGAGTGTATGTGTTCAATGGAGGTGAATACTACAGACCATATGAAGTCTTTAAGCACGAGTGTGCAAAATGCTTTGAGGGTAAATGAGGTGAAAGGAGGAGAGCAGAAGAGAAGAGGGGGTTTGGTTTCCTTTATTAAACAGAAATCAAGTCAAGTTCAAAATAATGAAAGCCATTGCTTACCTTACATTACCTTTTAAATCTGTGCTGTCATCCAGAGCAATGGAAAATATCATCATGTAAGATCACATATATCAGATAACAGCGAAAAGAATACTGTGAGCAGTATTCTTTTTATTTATCTTTCCGAAATAGAGCTGTGTGTAACTTGTGTTATAAATCATATCCCAATATGTTTTGGAAACCAGATATACACAGTTAAAGTTAGGATACGGTTGTCTCATATCTAAATCACTAACGTCCAGCCTGTCAGCAGCTGTCTAGCTCTGGATTCGTTTCCGTGCTGACAAGTGACCTCTCCACGACCCACAGCGTTATGAAGCGGACAGAGTGACTGAGCTGCTCGCACCCTGTGCACTGGGTCTCTGTGCTGCTGCTGCTGCAACCCAGGACAGTTAATCACCAACCTGCTTTTAGAAATATTGACCAGAATTTGTGTTTTCAGAACAACTTTCAAACTGTTCCAACTCCTAACTCCAAGGGCACCGCTGAGGGTTCAGCTGTTTGCACTTGACAAAGAAACATCAGTTTGTCACGGTCAGCCAGATTCAGTTGGAAATTTCAACTTGGACATTTTAGAGTTTGGAACACAACATAAATATACAAAAGAGGTAGAGAAAACAAGAAACAAGTGAAACTATCATGGCAGTTACACAGGTGGAAACACACGGCCAGGAAATGAAGATGCCAGAAAGGAAAGGAGAGGAAATACCAAATTAAAACAGGAAACAAAGAATAAATGACACAATGACAGAATCTTCATTTCTGTCTCAGACCTGCTGGATATAAACACGCTACATACAACATGTGCTCCAAAAATAAAGAATAGAGAAGATACAAAACCTGAAGGTATCTCATCAGGAAAGTTTCAGCAAGAATTGATGACGATATCAGAGATAAAGAGGAAGAGGACGAAGACGACAGAAACCAGCAGAGGAACTGTTGAATTTGTGTTAGTTTAGTTTTATTTTAACCTTTACAACTTCAAATGTCGCTTAACAAAAGGACGTTGGTGTTTATGATAAAAGTACAGAGTTAAAATAAAAAAGACAATAAAAGCTTCAGAGAAACATGGAGTTTTTGGTTCCCCCTGCAGGTTCAGGAGTCACTCGTTAGTCTTCATCAATCACAGTTTTCAGTTGTGATGCTTTTGGGAAACATCTCTTCAGCTTCAGAAGCTGCAGAAGATGGATGTTACCACCGTCTCTGCCTCTTGATATGGAAGAGAGAGAGAAAGGAGTTCAGTGTAGTTCACAGTTTGTTAGAGTTAGAGTTTGTCAGATTAATATATATTATGAAACTGGAGTAAAATTATTGATGCATTCATGTGTTCATCACTTTAATGTTGCAGCTGGTAAATATGGAGATCATTTTAATGTATTAATAAATTGATGAGATCAATAAATAAATGTAAAGAAAGGCCTCACTCCTTTGATAAACTTTATATAGCACTTTTTAAAACCGTCGTTTACAAAGTACTGAAAAAAACACAGAATTAAAGGCTTATGGCTGCTGTAATTTTACATTTTTCTTAATGTCAAGAAATGTCCTGAAAAAAATTCATCAAAGTCCATCTCTCAATAATGTCTTACTTCCTTATCCTGTATGTGGCATTCAGCCCTCAGCCCTCAGAGGAAGAGGAGACATCAGGCTGAGAGACACAGGACTCGTTAGTGGACTTTCAGTGTTGGTTTGGGTCTTTTCGTGGGATTTCTTGACATTCAGCTAAATGTAATATCACCAGCCCAATTCTTTAAAAACAGTCAAATAAAATCAGAAAACACTGCTGATGGTGAAAAATCACCTGTATCAACACAACACGCCACACAGAACCAGTGCAGAGTGATTTTAAAACATGTTTTGAAACGTCTTCTGGTTAAAAGGCTGCTTACTGCCACAACAAACAAAGTTTTTCCAAATGTTCCCTTATAGAAATTGTTTTTAAAGGAGAGGGAATCTGTGGTGTTAACACTATACTGTAGTTCTGTGATGGAGGGAACAAAAAGAAAACATTTGTACAGACTATATAATACTTTCAATATGTTTTTCCAAAAGACTTAAACATATGGAATCTATTATTCATGTTAATCAAGCATACTGTATTCCTGATCGTACCATATTGGATCATTTGTTTTTAATAAGAGATGTCATAGATATGTCAGCGTTTCATGAGATGGATCTTGGCCTATTATCTATAGACCAAGAGAAAGCTTTTTATAGTGTAGCATGACTACATTGATGTAATAAATTTATGAGAGTTAATACCTAATTATGAATTTTAATATTCAGAAAATATTAATCCATAAATCTTCTCGTTTCGCGGGCCACCACCGGAGTTCCAGTCCATCCAGAGTCTCCGGACCTCTGGGTATGGTTTTTATAATTACAATAGAATTATTCACTAGTGATCAGTTAGTTAATATTCACTCAGTTATCTTAAATCAATCAGTCAGTCTCATATCGAAGGGTAAATTCTCTTGGCAGGGACTCGGAGACAGGCAATACACACAATTCCTTGGTTACAGTGAGGTTTATTAACTAACTAAGGTGATATAAAAATTCGGTTAAATATGGCTAACAATGAGAATGTGGGTTTCGAAGTATTTGACTCATACGGCGGAAGAGAACTAATGAAAGTAAGCTATGAGTTTAGGAGTAAAAAAAGATAATCTATTAACACTATTGGACATCACTGATCACAGAATGCCTTGTTTTGCCATACAGTGGGTGGGCGGCCTGCCTTGGCCTGTTGCACGGGTCTCGCGCTAGCTGACCGATTCCCGGCATTTTGCTAGGGAATTCTCTGTCTGATTCTCCATTCTCCGTGTCTGGAATGAAGAAAAACCCTCAAGGGTTGGCCGTCCTCAGTCTGGCAATTAGACTTTCTGTTCTTCAGATGTCCTTTGTTGCCGCTGGCGAGACCACGTGATTTGGTCTGACCTCGGTGATGTTAGCTCGACGAATAAAGCTTAGAAAGACAAGAGGTTTGAAGAGTCTGAAGAGTTTGAAGAGGCCAGGAACCTGCAGGGACAAGAGAGAAGCACAAGAGACTGAACACGCGCGTGTGTCGCTGTTTTATCTGTTGGGGCGTGGTTCCCAGAGGGCAGTCCATTGTTTCGGAGCTGGCTTGTTTCCGGTTTCCCGAGAGACTGTCTTTCTCTAGTTTATTAAAGTTAATAAAAAAAATATCTATTGGCGTGTATTGTAATCAAATATCTTCCCACAATCAAACCTTAGTTGTCAAACGGTTGTACCGTTCTAAGTTTAAGCATTTGATAACAGGAAGAACAATTGTCAGTAGTTAGACCTTACAAAGTTAACACTTCATAGGAATCACAGATGAGAGGAACTTAACTTGCTTTCTAAATATAGGCTATTGGCTGTTACACGTTCTTAGTTCTTATTTAGATTCTTTTCAGCAATAATTAAAACAACAGATAGCAGCAACATGGTAGCATAACTACTAACCTAAGAGGCAGCGCCACTACTAACTTAGCAAGGATTATTATTTAAAGAGAATAACAGTTTATAATGAAACATTGTTTTAGCTCAAGAATTAGGAGTTGTTAAAGTCCCCCTTTCGCATTCCTGGCTTTATAATATAATAATAATAATCCTTATTTGTAGAGCACTTTTCAAAAACAAGTTACAAAGTGCTTTAACAAGTGTAAAGAATAATACAAAAAAGATAAGAGCATGAAAATTTATTATAAAATTAGTAAAATACAATAAAATAAAAGGGATAAAATAAAGTCAAATAAGATCGGGAAAAGCTCTCCTATAAAAGTATGTTTTAAGAAGGGACTTAAAAGAGTTCACTGACTCAGCCGACCTGATTTCCTCGGGCAGGCTGTTCCAGAGCCTCGGGGCCCTGACAGCAAACGCTCTGTCCCCTTTAGTTTTCAGTCGAGACTCTGGAACAGACAACAGACCTCTGCCCGAGGATCTCAAGGTACGTGCTGGTGCGTATGGGACTAAAAGGTCAGAAATATAACAAGGTGAGAGGCCATGAAGAGCTTTAAAAGTGATCAATAGAATTTTAAAGTCAATTCTAAAACATACTGGGAGCCAGTGTAATGAAGCTAAAATAGGAGTAATGTGGTCATATTTCTTTGTTCTGGTTAAAAGCCTGGCAGCTGAGTTCTGGACAGTCTGGAGTCGATCAATAGATTTTTGGGTTAAACAGGTGAAAAGGCTGTTGCAATAATCCAGGCGTGATGAGATGAAGGCTTGTAAAATGGTCTCGGTGTCCTTAAAAGTTAACATAGATCGAATTTTAGCTATATTTCTAAGTTGATAAAAACATGATTGAACAAGCTTTGTGGTGTGCTGCTCGAAATTTAAATTACTATCAAACCAAACACCAAGGTTCTTTGCCACAGGCTTAATGTGATTTACTAGGGAACCAGCAGATGGCAGTATTTGATTTGCCATCTGCTGGGACCCGATGACCAGGATTTCTGTTTTGTCTGAGTTCAGCTGGAGGAAATTATTTGACATCCATTTTTTAACTTC